TAAAAAAAATGTTTTTTATTTTTATATTGCCTTCAAGGCAAATATGTTATATAGTTACAAGACCCCCCTCAAAATGCGGTCCTGTATGATGTTTAGGTCAAGAATTTGCAATTATTCTGGGAATAGAACATGGCAGGGCGCAGCGATATACATATAAGACGTTGGGAGCGTAATTAATCGAAGATGACATCATTATACCAGCGAATGAGATTAAATAACGTACTACTTATGTAAAAAACTGTATAAATGACACCAATTATGCAGTTTCCTGTAACAACGACTGTTCAATTAGTGGAGAAGTAGCCAATTATATATCAATTTGTAAACGATATGCAAGAAAAGCTGTTAACTGGTTGGTATACATAGTCACGGAGACTGCCATAACACAGGTAGGCCGATTACGAATAGTCAACTTTTGTCAAATATACTGAGTGACAATAAACGTAAACACCTGCGATTTTTTACAAATCGATTTATCTTGCCATGAACAACAAGTGATAAAACGGTCAGGTTTTTCTGTTTTTGTAGTGTCTGCGTGTATTGTTTGGTGATGAAGAAGCATTCAGTTTTCGTACATTTACGATGTAAGTTAAATGTTAAATTTCGTGAAGCTTATTCAGAAGCCTTTTTGTGATTGCTCAAAATGCTTAGAGTGCATAGAAATCGCCGGGTGTACCAGCTAATTGACTTTGAGAGGCCGAGGACAGCGAGTGAGGGGTTCTGGACGACCCAGAGGGACCACAGTATACAGGGTGTCTCTTATTGTTGTATAACTTTAAGATTCGATAGAACTTTTAAAATTAATGCATAAGGTCTATATAAACATGGGTCGAAAAATGGGTGGCTTCCGAAATACAGGGTGTTTAAATTTACTTTTTAAAATAGTTTTTTTTTAAATATTTCGAACAATATTTGATGTATATCAGTGAAAATTGGTATACAAGGGTTTTTTGGTACGACAAAACGAACCATGGACGTAGTTTTACTGTAACCGCTAGAGGGCGCTCTCTACTGTACCTGTAGAGTATTAAACATTTTTCTTAGTGCAATTTTTTGCTTTTTGAATAAAAAAATGATTCTTCGCACTTTTCTGCATAAAAAAGCTCTCCTGTGAGTTTTCGTTATAGTTAGCCGTTTTTGAGATATTTCGATTTTGAAGGTTCGATGCATTTTTAATTATTTATGGGAAAATAATATTTTTTTTTAAATTTTCGATTTGGGCATTACAAGTAATTAAGATGATCGTTTAGATTGTGTTTTTAAACACAGCAATAATTCCTAACTCCAAATAAACACAAAAAAACAGAATATTAATTTGTTTAATTTTCCAATATTATTTTTAACAAATCAAATTAATTATTTACAACTAAAATGCTATTGGATAGTTAGGACAAACATACAAAATCTAAAGTAGTTGATCGAAATGTAAACCCATTTGTTCAATCCACAATTCACATCTACGAATGATCGAACGTGGTATATATAGCATTATTCAAATAAGGCCTTATTTCATCACATGCATTCCAGATTCTGTCTATTAGCATATCTCTTGTGGTTACGGAAGTCTGGTACACTTTTTCTTTGAGAAATCCCCACACAAAGAACTCTAATGGATTTAGGTCAGGGGATCGTGGAGGCCAGGCGACCGGTCCTCCACGGCCGATCCATCTTTCTGGATAATTTTCGTCCAGCCAGTTTCTAACTATTCTCGAATAATGAGCTGGTTAACCATCAAGCTGGAACCAGGCCAATCTTCTTAAATCTAACATAACATCATCCCACATATTTGCATGTTCAGCCTTTAAAAATTCCAAGAAGGTCGCAGCATTTAACCTTGCAGGCAAAAGGTAGGGTCCAAATAGTCGATTACGGTAGATACCAATCCACACGTTCACACAAAATTCATGCTGAAAATTTCTTTCCCGAACTGCATGCGGATTTTCATGCGACCAAATATGTTGATTATGAAAATTCCAATCCACGTCTAGTGAAGCATGACTCATCGGTCCATAAAACAGTACTTAAAAACTCCCTATTATTATCAGTTCTATCAAGAATGCACTGACAAAATATGATGCTTCGTTCTCCGTCCCCTGGCTGTAGTCCTTGCACAGGTTGCAAATGGTAAGGACGTCTATGGTCATTTCTAAGACCACGGTGAACATGGCTTGCTGAAATTCCCAAGGCACCAGAAACTCTCCTAACACTTGTGGTCGGATCTCTATCAAACTCACGCAGAATCATACGGGTAAATCTGCGCTGACGAACATTTATGTTTTGATCCCTTTGGAGATTTCCAAAACCATTTTCAATTATTTGGCGATGCACTCTTACAAATACTGAGCGAGTTGGATGTCGTCTGTTTGGAAATCTTCGTGCGTATTCTCTGGCTGCTTCTGCTGCGTTTCCATTTACAAAGTCATACACAAAATGAATATCCGCTAACTATTGATTGGAGAATAAAAATGGCATTTTTATAAAACTTACAAGAAAAAACAGGTGAAAGAAACATAATTTCGTGCATTCACAATTGCAAAAAAACGTTTCAGGTTTCAACAGACAACAAAACTAACTGTCAATTAATTGACGTCCAACCTTATTCTGCTTTCAATTTCAAAAATATTTGCAGGCACAGCCTACTTCTAAAAATTATCGAGATACTGACTTTTTAACGTTATTTTATCATAAATAATTAAAAATGCATCGAACCTTAAAAATCTAAATATCTCAAAAACGGCTAACTATAACGAAAATTCACAAGAGAGCTTTTTTATGTTGAAAAGTGCGAATAATCAGTTTTTTTATTCAAAAAGCAAAACGTTGCACTAAGAAAAAATTTTCGGTCATTTTAATACACTACAGGTACAGTAGAGAGCGCCCTCTAGCGGCTACAGTAAAACTTCGTTTTGCCGTACCAAAAAACCCTTGTATACCAATTTTCACTGTTATACATCAAATATTGTTCGAAATATTTAAAAAAAAAACTATTTTAGAAAGTAAATTTAAACACCCTGTATTTCGGAAGATACGCATTTTTCGGCCCATGTTTATATAGACTTGACACCAAGATACTTGACAGAAATTTCCACCATCCACCGCACTTTGTAATCTCTGGTGAACCAGATGGTGACCTGACGCGGATATCGGCTCTGATGGACCGCTCTGTGGACAAGATTGTGAATCTGAAATCTGAAAAGAGCGGCGAAGGGCTGGGCAGCTGTTCCTGAGAGAATATGCCCTTGTTACAGTTAAAGAGAAAGGGGGGCCAGGAAATATAATGGCCTCCCTGGATCCACCCTTGACTTTAGTATACAGGGTGTTTCAGTTTATTGTTGCATAACTTTAAGATTCGATAGAACTTTTAAAATTAATGCATAAAGTCTATATAAACATGGGTCGAAAAATGCATGGCTTCCGAAATAGAGGGTGTTTAAATTTACTTTCTAAAATAGTTTTTTTTAAATATTTCGAACAATATTTGATGTATAGCAGTGAAAATTGGTATACAAGGGTTTTTTGGTACGACAAAACTAACCATGGGCATAGTTTTACTGTAGCCGCTAGAGGGCGCTCTCTACTGTACCTGTAGTGTATTAAGATGACCGAAATTTTTTTCTTTTTTGGACCTGCCAGAAAACGAGTGGAATAGGTACTTCGAAAATTGGTTCGAGCGCGTGCAGATGTGTATTAATCTTCGTGGAGAATACTTCGAAAAACAATAAAGTCATTTAAAACTACCTACCGTGTTGATTTATTTCCATATGCAAAACTTAAAAGACATCCCTCGTATAACAATATTCATCACGGAGGAACAGTTGATGGAGTGAAGATCTGTTCTCTAATGTGTCAAAGAGATATTTCGGAGATATATTTCAAAACCCTACATAGTAGAACAGCATAGAGAGTTAACGAGCGATATTTGAACTTTAAAAGATTTTTTCTTACATAATACCCAGTAATGTGTTAGCGTCTGTTTATCTCATTGAAACAAAACCTCATACAATGGTTTTGTAAAACTTGAATTTTCTGTTGCATATTATAATAATAATAATAATAATAATAATCGTCTTTATTGACCAAAAACATGGTACATTACATGGGGCGAGATTTAGCACCTGCTATTCCACCATCTAACCCCAATGATAGATGATTATGATAGCAAAGAGATGCTTTCTTTTGGATACGGGACACCCTGTGAAATAAATTGCATACCAAATTATGTACAAAGACTCGTATAACATCATAACATATCAAGTAAAAGGTAAATAATATATTATGGTATATCATGAACTGCGTTCCGTGTTGTGTATTTTGATACATAACGAATTCTGGATATATCGGAACATATTATGTAAATAATATACAGTATATATCGATGGTGTAGTGCACAAATGTTGTAAGTGATTTTTCATTGAAATTGACTTATCTACAGCAGCATATTACTCAAGGGACGAAGCATCGCATGCACAAGTGTGGTAGTTGATTAATATATTTATGATGCTTCTAGCGCCACCTGCCAGTAGGTATAAGTAACTTTGAAATGTAGATTTCTATCGCAAACGTCTTAAATGTACTTAACACATTTGTACTTAGTAACCTACATCCACAAGATGGTGTTAAAGGTAATTGCCACATCTGTGATTCACACATTTCTCGTAGGCTGAAGTTTGAGGTTAGAATTTTAGCTGGTCTGGTCGTGATACTAGTGTGTGCGTGATACAAGTGTATGCTGCGAAAAGGCCATGGCGTCTCGATCTGCACTAATTCTACAACTGGCTCTGAAGGAGCAAGTCTGTACAAAAAGTATACAGGGTACGTATAACATGAAACAGGTAGACCTTTTTTTTTGAAACGTTCATTTGCTTGCAGAAAGGGAGGTTTTGAGGTATTCTGAAGTAGAAGTGCTTCCATCTGTACCAATCGACGCTGTTTTTGAATCACGTAGTGGAGGAAATAATACGGAATTTGAAATTATACAGGGTATGGATAGATAATACTGAATGAATCAGATTTTTAAGATAGTTCAGTATATTTTACTTATAGATGAGCTGAATTTGAGGACTGCTGCAATCGCCGTACCCCCAACTACCGAAACTGATGTTATTCAGGACCGTTGCTGTGGACTAAATACGGAAGAAGCTATTTTCACAGATTCCCAGTTGGACGTACCAGTAATAGGTATTACTTGACAATATATTGCTCACGTTTGTTACTAATGTTTTACTGTATATTTCAGAAAATATAATGAACTGTAGTCCGTCACCAACCACCATGAGTACCGACAATGACCCTGAACCATTTGTTCCATCTGACAGCTCTTATACTCCTTCCAATCAAGCTGGTGAATCTGATAGCGAACCAGACATATCAACCCTCTAAAAAGCAACGAAAAAGAAAAGCCGACCCTCAACTCTGGAAAAGGTCTGTTGTGAAGACTTTGAGATTAAGTGGCGAAAAATATGTAAATCGAGCTGGTAAGACAGTACCAGTAATACTTCCAAAAATAGTAGACTGTTCTAAATGTCGCTATAAATGCAGCAACTTTCTTTCGCAGGATGAATGTCAAATATTATGTAAAGAGTATTATCAATTAGCAGACTACACTAGGCAGAAAATATATTTAAGTTCTTTAATGGAGAATGTACCAGTAAGCAGAAAAAAATGCACTCCACTGACTAAAAACCGTGCCACTTCTAGAATATACAATTTGAAAAACACAAAGGGTGTTAAGCATAGAGTATGCCAAAAATTCTTTTGTGCTACTTTTGCTATTTCACATCGAGTAATAGAGACAATAAATAAATCTATGAGCAGCACTGGCCTTTTTATCGGCCATGATAAACGGATAGACTCCAAGCCTCATAACATAACTCCCATTGCAATTAAGCAGCAAGTAATGAGCCACATCGATTCTTTTCCAAAAATCGAATCTCACTATTGTAGACGAGACTCAAAAAAAGAGTACCTCTCACCAGAACTAAACATTTCCATAATGTATCGCCTATATCAGGAATATTGCGAAGAAAATGATATGAGTCCTGTATCTAGGTTCGTGTATCAAAGTATATTTCATGAACATGACCCACCGCTTTCTTTTTATAAGCCAAAAAAAGACCAATGTACTGTATGCAATGTTTTCAAGGCATCGCAAAACAAAGAACCTTCACGTGCCAACTTCGAAAACCATAAACGTCGAGAGAAGGAGTCACTAGAAATGAAAGGGAATGATAAAAAACGTGCAGTTGAAAACAAGGGAAGAGAGTTCAGAGCAATCTCTTTTGATTTGCAAGCCATTTTGCCCATTCCCTTTGCAGGTGATAGTCAAGTATATTATAAATCTCACCTCAATGTATACAACTTCACAATCTATGATTGCTCGAACAAGGATGGTATTTGTTACGTATGGGATGAAACACACGGCAGCAAGGGGAGCTCGGAAATTGGAACTTGTCTTTATAAGTATTTGCAAAGTTTACCTCAAACTGTTGAACACGTAGCTACATTTTCAGACACCTGTGGTGGTCAAAACCGCAATAAGTTCGTTAGCGCTGCAATGCTATACTCAGTTAGTAAGCTGACTAATTTGAAAACCATCGATCTAAAGTTCATGGAGTCCGGACATTCCTATTTAGAGGCCGACTCCATGCATGCCACTATAGAAAGAGCAAGGAGACATACAAAAAATTATACTACACGTGAATGGTGTCTACTAATATCTGCTAGTAGACTCAGGCCACGACCATACCACGTAAATAACATGCAATATTGTGACTTTCTCGACCTACAACAACTTGTAGAATGCATTGTTAATAATACCTCGTTGAACAATAATGGCGAAAAGGTATCTTGGATCCGTATTAAATGGTTGCGTTTTGAAAAGCGCAGCCCAAATATAATCCAGTATAAATATGACCTATCAGCGGACTTTTTTTATGAAATAGACGTGTCTGCGAATAAACGAAGATCAGGCCGCAAACGGTCATGGGATTCAGTGCAATTAAAAAGAAAATATGCTACCCGTCTTCCTATTTCAGAGAAAAAAAAGTCTGATCTCTTGTATCTCCTTAATCACGAAACCATCCCAATGGATTACGCAGACTTTATTAACAACTTGCCTTCAACTTCGGATCTTTCAAAGCTTATGCTACATTCCCAGTCTGAAGATGATCAATAAACTTCATACATTCACCGAGAAATTGGAAATTGTTGACTGACTCCCTTATGTAACTGTTTATTTTATTGTTATCTCTGCCATTGGTGGGCCAAGTTTGTAATGAATATTTCAGTTAGTATAATCAATAAGAAAAGTAGGTGTTAAGTTACAGTGCAATATGATACAAATGTGTTAAGTGATGACAAATAAATCTTTATTTTTTCAAAAATTGTTTAACGCTTTTCCTACCCTGATTAAAAGGTATGTAATTTACAGAGTAATGTTCAAATTGTCAACTTTGAAGTTCATTTATTTAGTAATAAGCCGCTAATCAATTTTACTTTTGAGTCAAAGCTATTTTATTGTATAGCGCAAAAGTGACATTTCGGTCTTATCACATTTGTGCGCTACACCATCGATATTGTCTCAAATATCTATCACATAACTTAACCTTGGTTACAAAATTACCTGCGGTGAGTTATGTAGTTATTTCTTCACAATGCCCTACACTCCATCCACGTCTAGCTTTTCGGATTGTGCCCAATTGTGTTCGAATGTACATTTTTCAAAGCTTTTTAATGCTGAATTTGCAAGGCTGCTAATGGATTTCGGAAGGGGTTTTTACAAAATCATCCGACGTATTTTCGTCAATATTAAAATCCTGATAAACCATTGACAGGTGTTCATTACGTTGTGTAATTAATGCATGGTAACATGGATACACTGTTTCGCTGGAAAATTTCGATTTCAACAAAATATGTTTCTGTTTTTTAGATTTCAGACGTAGACGATTCTCATACCCTCATACCCATTGTGTTCGAATGTACATTTTTCAAAGCTTTTTAATGCTGAATTTGCAAGGCTGCTACTGGATTTCGGAAGGGGTTTTTACAAAATCATCCGACGTATTTTCGTCAATATTAAAATCCTGGTAAACCATTGACAGGTGTTCATTACGTTGTGTAATTAATGCATGGTAACATGGATACACTGTTTCGCTGGAAAATTTCGATTTTAACAAAATATGTTTGTGATTTAGATTTCAGACGTGGACGATTCTCATACCAATGGGAATTATGGGGCAGTCATTCTTGCCTAATTGTGTAGCCCTTCTGATGAGAAATTCTGACCAGGGATGTGTCTTTTTTATATCGAAGCAGAAGCCTAAATTCCGGAACACCGCGGCTGCTATGATGATCCCAAAGAAGTTTTGTTAATACGATTTTTGAACTGCCTAAGGTTAGTAGATCTGGGAAAGGTTCCTCTTGTAGATTGTTCCGAAAGTGTGGGGTTATATTCAAGAAAATAGATTTGACCTTGAAATGACTTTCCTCCCCAACATTGATTCCCAAAGTGGTCTATATCGACCCCTAGGGGTCTATGACAACCTGCAAGGGGTCTACGTCAGCGAAAAAAAATTTGGGGGTCGATGAAATGAATATGGGGGTCCACGATAGTGGATCTCAATACATACACTGATAGTACCTATTTACTTACATCATACTATCTTATAATATCAAAACATGTACATTATTTATAAAAGTACCTATGAAGTAAAAAATTTATCATATATGTTTATAAAATTGTGTAAGTTGTAGGATGTTGGTATTCGCTTTGTGGTCGCAATACATTTTGAACTTGTAAAAACCTGAGAGTCACAGTCTCAGAGCTTCGCTACCTTGCACTGACTTGTTCAATTCGTCACTCTATAAATACGAATGTGGGACAAATACGTTTATTCGTTTCCTGAATCTTGAAAAGGAAAGTGCTAAGAAAATATTTTAAAAAATATAAACAGATAGTATATCACACAAATTATAGTGAGTCAGTGTTATTTTGTTTGAGAGTGCTGCTAAGTACATTATTTTTCATTAAATTTTAGTTTTGTACTCGTAGTTAGCAAAGATAGATAAATTACGCCAATCATGACTTTAGTTATTAGTAGATAGTTAAATATTCAATCATGCAAAATTACACGAGTACTCCTCAATAGTTTCTTTTTGAAAGTTTTAGCAATCGGTAATATAATTACAGTGCAATCTCCGTAATTCGAGCTAATTGTTGCAAGAAGATGTTCGAATTATGGAATGTTTTCGGAAAAATCAAAAAATATTTTTAATATACAGCTGCTGGATTTTCTGTCTTATTTAAATAATTTAATTTTGCCCACAGATGACTGATGCCATGTCCGAATCTAAAAAGAAATGTAGACAGTACAGTGTTGATTATTTGAAATTTGGCTTCATTCCATCATTGCCGGACAAACAATCGCCTATGTGCCTTTTATGCAACAAAGTTTTGGGCAATGACGCAATGAAACCATCTAAACTGCAAGATCATCTGAGAAGATGCCACCCTGATAAAACAGAGAAAGATTTGAAATACTTTCAAACACTCAAAGATAAATTTCAGAAGAGACCTACACTGGACAGAATGTTCGCTTCGACGTCACAAAGAAATGATGATGGTTTTCGGGCGTCTTACAATATCTCGTTACTTATAGCAAAATCCGGAAAACCGCATACTATCGGAGAGAAGTTAATTTTGCCAGCCGTTGAAGAGGTTTTAAAAACTGTTTTACACAAACCTGCATCTGATATCATTAAAAGAATTCCCTTAAGCAACAATACTGTTGAAAGACGTATTGATGAAATGAGTTCTGATATTGAACGCTTCTTATGTAATTATTTGCAAACGACCCATTTCTCTATACAACTGGACGAGTCAACTTTACCTGATAATGCAGCATTATTATTGGCATATGTTCGTTTTATTATGAATCAAGAAATCTACGAAGAACTGCTCTTCGAAAGAACTTTGATAACCGACACTAAAGGTGAATCAATATTTCATGTTTTGAAGGATTACTTCATTGAAAAAGCAATTCCTTTATCAAATATAAAATCAGTAGCTACAGATGGAGCACCTGCCATGGTTGGACGTTATCGTGGATTTATAAGCTATTTAAAACAAAATGTGTCAGGGGTGTTAGCAATACATTGCGTCATCCATCGACAACATTTAGTTGCTAAAAATTTGAGTGTTAGATTGCATGAATCACTTCATTTAGTCATTGATGCAGTAAACCGAATCCGAAGCAACGCGTTGAATACGCGGTTACTTGCGCAGTTGTGTGAAGAAAATGACGAACACTTTCATCAATTACTCCTTCACACTGAAGTACGCTGGCTGTCGAAAGGCTTATGTTTGACAAGATTTTTTGCACTTTTTGAGATTATTTTAGAATTTGTGGATACTAAAGATGAGATTTTAAAAGAAAATTTAATGAAGAGGAAATCAGATATCGCCTATTTAACAGATTTGTTTACAAAATTTAATATGGTTAATTTGCAATTACAAGGCAACAGTTTAAATTTGATTAAAACAAAGTCCATCTTATCAGCGTTTCTTGTCAGAGTTAAACTAATGAAGCAAAATATTGGACGGGGCGAATTTTCTCAGTTCCCCAATTTGTCACAGACAAGCTGCCAGGAAGACGACGTTTCAACTTACGTTCAACATTTAAATGCCCTCTATTCAGATTTTGAATCTAGGTTTGAGGATATTTTGACTATGGTAATACCACCGTGGATAATTAATCCATATGGTGACATAGAAGAAACGAATTTCATAATACAAGAGGAACTGACTGAACTAAGTATAAACGAAGAACTTAAGGTTCAGTTTGAAAACGGATATCAGCAATTCTGGCTGCAAAACAACATACCCGTTACTTATCCCGTATTATGGAATATAGCGAGGAAATTTTTAATTTCCTTTCCATCGTCATACCTAGTGGAAAGGGGGTTCAGCGCTGTTACCAATCTCCTAACGAAAAAAAGAAACAGACTGGACATCATAAGCCGAGGAGATTTAAGATTAACCCTTACAAAATTGACGCCAAATGTTGATAATTTATTATTAAAGCATCAGGTTCATCCTTCTCACTAAAAATATTGACTTATTGCTTATGTTATTTTATTTATAGTTTATTTTATGTTTATTGGTGTCTGACCAATAAATGCAACATGGCAAGGGGTCTATGACACAAAAAAGTTTGGGGAACTCTGCTCCACAATATGGTATGTGGTTTTTGATACGTGACCAGCCATATTCCAGGCATTCTAGTTTTTCGGGGTGTCAATAAGTGTAAAGTATGAAAAACGAATTTCAGTTGATGTTTTTAATTTATTTTGGAGCAATGAGACCGTTATTCACTGGACAGTTCTGTTATTAACAAATTCAACTTACCGTTTTTTTACACCAGAGCAGCTGCGCAGGCAGAAGCCTAAATGCCAGGGCACCGCGGCTGCTATGAGAAGCTTTGAGGATTTTTTGGGATGCGAACGGCGTCATTCTCGTGGTTTTTTTTTAGAAAAGGGAAGAACTATCACTGGACAATACTATAGTGAGTTATTGGACCGCTTCCTCAAAAAATTGAAGGAGACACGGTCACATTTGACGAAAAAGAAGGTGCCGTTTCACCACGATAACGCACCAGCACATTCATCCGGAGTTGTCGCCGCCAAACTGCATGAATTGCGTTATGAAGTGCTGCCGCACCCCCCCCGTATTCACCCGATCTGCCCCCCTGCGACTTTTTCTTGTTCCCTGATATGAAGAACTGGCTCGCGGAGAAAAAATTAGCTCAAATCCTATTTTTTGGGGGGTTAAAAGGACCTTTGAGAAAAGTGTATGTTTCTAAAAAGGGATTATGTTGAAAAAAAAAGAAATTTTTTGGAAAAAATGATGTCTTCATTTCTAACACGGATACTAATTGAACCGCCCTCGTAGTTGAGGTGACCATCAAATGGTGGATGTGTATCGTACGCTAAAGGACAGATGACACTCTGAAATGATATGTCACATCCATCTTAATTTTTCCGCAATGAAAACCAACCATGCATATCGATATCAAGAAATTACCTCGAAAATTATGATAAAAATAAACGTGCATATAAAGTATCCGTTATTATCGATAATTACTGCAATTATATTAATAAGTCGTTCTTGAAACCATATTTCAACCCATAATTTCGATCGTTGGGTTATAATATAGTGATATATGGGTGAATCATAGGGTCAATGATCAATCGAATGTTATAAAGAGAAGTATTATCAACAATGGCCGTACGTATACTTTATCTGAAGTTACTTGAAACACTGTGAAATACCGGGTGCGTTTTATATATCTATATTTAACACGCTCTGTTGCTGCAAAAATCGCCAAATTTCGCAGCAAATATCCCCCGTATAAGATCAAAGGCAGTTTCACCGGTCCACGTGGAGTAAAGCACGCCTGTGCGTGGACATAGCAAATGAGAAAGCGTGTATTTCAGAGCTCCGAACAAGTGCAGGTGGCTACTGAAAATTGAAACAGTTTAGCCAGTGCCGTGTAGCGGTGAATAAACGTGTTTTTTTAGTCTGTCCGTGTTTTTTCATAGACTTTATTAGTTTGTGTGTTTTTGACTTTTGAATACTCAGTTTACTTGTTGATTTAATTGTTGTGTTGATTGTTCTTGTGTGTCCTAAATATGGCTCTTTGGAGACCTTGGGAAAATGCTCCAAGCCACGAGGAGATGGTTGATGAACCTGTGCAGGCAGAATTCTTTCATAAAGATTTAGAGGAACAGACCCAAAGAGTAATCCTAAATATGTATGATTGTCTGAAAAATGAAAATCCAGATTCCTCGCAAAATCAAATTTTAAACAGAATTTGTATCCTGACAAAAATCAGTCGGTCTACCATTTATCGGGTTATAAAAAGGGGAGATGTAGTCAACCATTCCTTCCACAGAAAGCGCATAGGGCAAAAATTAAAAAGAATAGACGTGGGTTTCAGGAAGATATTCGTCGTATAATATACGGATTTTATAAAGAAAATTTGGTGTCCACGTTGGAAATGATACGGGATAAATTAAAAGATTATCCTGAAGATTTTTATAATTACAAATGCTTAGACTCACTGCACTGTATTGTAAAACTGTGTGGTTTTCAATACAAAAAATTAGATAAAAGAATGGTGATTATGGAGTCGTCTCGAATCGTTGAATTGCGCCAAGAATTTTTGCACAAAGTTAAAATCTATAGAGAGCAGAAAAGAAATCTGATTTACCTGGATGAAACGTGGTATGATATCCATGATGTTGTGCAGTACGTCTGGGTTGACGACAGCAACAAGTGCATTTTAAATGCACCATATTTACAACCGTGGAAAACGAATCATTATTCTCCATGCTGGCAGTGAAATTGGATTTATACCTAATGCCTTGCTGTTATTTGCCAAAAATATCAAAGAATCATGTGTCGACTATCATGAGGACATGACCTCCGACTTATTTGAAAAGTGGATAGAGCAGCAGTTAATACCAAACAATTCCCCAAATTCAGTGATTATTATGGACAATGCGCCATACCAGTCCCGACAGAAAAACAAAATTCCGAATACAGGCACAAAAAACCAGACATTATTGATTTTATGAAGGATAAGGGAATGGAAATGCCACAAAAATCAACCAAAGCCATAATATTGGATCTTATTAAAAGACAAAAATTTGAAAAAGAGTATGTTGTTGACAATCTGCTTCAGCAAAATGGCCATGAAGTATTACGTCTACCTCCCTATTACTGCATTTTTAACCCGATTGAGCTGGTCTGGGCTGCTTTAAAAAAAAAGTAAGAAAACATAATCAGACCCCTCAATTAAGTGAATCGCTATTGGCCACAATAAGAGATGCAGTATCTCATATTGCTGCCACAGACCTATGGAAGCAGTGTTCTAGGCATATTATTGAAAAAGAAAATGAATATTGTGTTTTGCCTCCTGTAAATCCCGTTGTAATTCCTCTACAAGATGACTCTAGCGACAGCTCCGAAGGCGAGGATGATATATAAATACCTATAATGTAAGTCTTTATATACCTTTTTATATACCTACCTGCTATGTAAATATTTGCCTATGTCAAACGTTGGAATTCTGTAATTTTTCCATTTCTTAACTTTCAGTCAACATAAATTAAACTCCCAATATAAGTATTTTTTTATCCCAAATCAAAAAAATAAGAAGATAGTAAAATCCATTTATTGTGATATAAAAACATTATTATTATCGTTCTAAATAAATGACCGCACGCCTATGATACGTCATGAAATTACAAAGGACGCGCCGACCAAAGGTTTTTATGCTATTTCAAGTGACTTCAGATAAAGTATATACTTGTAGTTATTCTTCCATGAAGACTAGAGATAGCAGGTTAAACTCATGGGCTGGGGTTAAGCCGTTACCACCGAGAGTACAAGGCCTGACAGCAGACGCGTGACGTCACCACTAGTAGGCCGGTCGGCCGGCCGACAGCATATATTATTATACTACTATACTAATATACTCTACCTGATGTAAATAACGGATAATTCAAAAAAGTGCTTTTAGTATATGAAGGCATCTTGGTGGAAAATATTAAAGTAGTTATTAACTATTTTCACCCTGATTTTCACTGATACTTCATCCAACATTACGTGCACATTAGAGTAATAAGTTGATGTTATAAAAGCTTGCTAAGAATGATAAATTCTTCAATGAATAACCTCATATTAGTCATAACCGATCAACAAAATTTCACAGGAATATGTGGACAATTTACTATTAACATATTATACGCATAATATAATGGTACTTGAAAATTATATAAAAAATGTAGTGCTTGTTGAACAGTTGTGTTCTTTGCATAGCCTAAAAAGTTATATCTCTCATCGGGAACTGGATCGACCATCATTACAAATTGACTTCGGAGTATTTTGGTGTGGTAAAATAAGTGCTTCGTGGCTCCTAATAAATCTATATGAATGTGGACTGATTGTATACAACATAGAGCAAAACACTATTGTTTCTGATGAGTAACTGTGTCTGTTTTTCTGACTAATAAGAAGCTTTAGTTGCTCACAAATAAATTGAATGACAGTGTGGGTCTCTTCATCGGTGAATAGTTCTGTGCTATTTAAAATATTGTAAGCATGGTTGATAGTGGTTCTGAACTGGTCTTTACCTGAATATTCCCTCGAAGCATCTACATTCTCAGAAAGAACATTCAGAACATCATCCAAGTAGTTTATATTAGATAATAAAAATGAAGTTTTAATATACTAAGTGACATAAATCCGAACACCCAGTTTAAATGGTTTTATTTTAATAAAATTTTGTATAAGTACTTAATGAAGCATAATAAGTAACATTCTCCAACGCACCTAGGCATGCTTCTGATCAGGTGGTCAATGTCCTCCTGTGGTATCTCATTCCAGGCAACCACCAACTCCTCTCGAAGTGCTTCTAGAGTCTGAGGAGGACGTTGCAAATTGAGCAATCTCCTACCCATCATATCCCACACGCGCTCAATTGGGGATAAGTCGGGAGATTTTGGTGGCCATGGTAACAATGTGACATTATTTATTATTATTGTGACTCTTGCAACATGTGGTCGGGCATTATCTTGTTGGAAAGTTGGATCTGCCAAGGTGTCAAGAAAAAAAGATGGGGTTCTAGAACTTCGTGGATATAACGCTGCCGTTCATGTTACCTCTGATGAAGATTAAAGGTGACCTGGAACCATAAGCTATAGCACCCCAAACCATAACTCCAACAGTGTGATGAACATGTCTTTCAACAAAAAACTGTGGATTCCTCCTTTCACCACGTCGCCTTCTAACCCTGGCACGACCATCGTGCATGCCTAAACAAAATCGAGACTCGTCACTAAAGACAATACTGTTCCATTCCTGATCCCAGAGTGACCGTTGTCTGCACCACTCAAGGCGATTACGTCGGTGTTCTCGAGTTAAAGGGAGGACCCAGTGTGACCGGCATGAAAACAAGCCAAAACTTCTCATTCGTCGGTAAACACTTCGCATGCCAATAGGTCTTCCGTGTTCTGCAAACCATTCATTTGCAATGGACCTGGTAGTGGAGAAACGGTCCCTTAAGGCCAATAATCGTAGGCGGCGATCTTCACGGTCTGTTGTTCTACGGCGGCGTCCAGTGCCCCTTGCTCTTTGCCTACGGCCTTCTCGAAGCCATGCCTGACAACACCTAACCACAGTGTCTACACTTCTTTGCACTCTAACTGCAATTGCCCGAAAAGAAAGTCCAGCTTCCCGAAGTCCCACTATACGACCCCTATCAAACTCACTAACTTGATGAAATCGTACAGGTCTCCGTACTCTAGGCATCGTAACCGATCGTAAAGGATGTCAAGAACCAAAATCCGCCAACGTTGATTCTTTACTGCGGCTGAAATATTCATTTTTAGAGCGTTAGTGAATTAAAAAAAAGCAGTATAAAAACCGGAATGTCCAACTGATAAGGCTGAAAATTTTTTCACTTGTTATTTACAGTAAGATAAATACATTCACCAACTTTTATTAAAATAAAACCATTTAAACTGGGTGTTCGGATTTATATGTCACTTAGTATATGTTTGCTATGATATGACTCGAGCTAATATGAATCGATTGCTTATGTAATGTACAAAAGGAAAAGTTCAAGGAATAAAATAAAAGAAAGAACTGTCAAAGTGAACAAATATAATCAGTAAATCAAACTATCTACATATAACTTTGTTTCTTCTGAACAAGAAAAGTCCTAGTGGTGCCCTCGTAGGGGTAGACGCCCCCGAAAATGTACTTGTAATGTCCGAAGTGTCGGATCCTATATCGGCCCTCAGGCACGCTGTCTTTTATTTCCCATGTTATTTCCACCTCGCTGCCTGCCTTAAGGGCGGCCGTCCTCCGCCATACGAACCTGCAAAAAAGTTATCTTTGTACTTGTCTAACGGTGTTGTTATAAGGGTTAAGTGAACGGTAAAAGGACGGGTAGGATTGAAACTAAATAGGGTCCAGTGAATTTACCGGTGTTATTTGCGGTACGTTGTTAGGTATCTAAAAGACGTCCCAGCCATTTTACGTCGATAATATTTGGGTGTTAGCGAGAAAATCGCCGAAATGGAAACCAGTTTCCATTTGAACACGCTCAAGGTGTTACAATAATAATAATAAACGGCTTTATTTATAGTGATCAATTATAAATGGGTCAAGTTTAGCCTCGGCTATTTTTTATTTTTAAACTTCAACACCCCGCATCTTTTTAATGAAGCTCTCGAGAAAACAATGTTACATAGGAGACCCTCCTTACAGAGCCGTCCTGTGTATGATGTTTCACGGCTTGTATCACCCTGTAAGTGCATTTTTAGCTTTTTTTAATTCGATTTATAAGCTAGCAGTTTACCTGAAGGCATATCCGTCATTGATGAAGTTGCATACTATTATCCTTTTCTCAGTATTACTTTAAACCTCTAAAAACGACATTAAATTTGTGCTCAAAATTCTATATTCATATCGGCAACTATGCATGAATCTGTCTCCAAAGATACTCAGAAGCTTAAAAGCTTTGTCATGTAGGTACGCCGTTTACAATTCCAACTGTCTGAATTATTCGGAAATACCGTTATGCTGATTATAGTTTCCTTGGAATTCTATATGCATAAATACATACCTATGGGTAAACATGTCAGCGTGCTCACTGGAAGAATTATTCTTTTAGATAAATCAGGGGCGGCTGGCTCTTAAGTTCTGCAGAGCTGCAGAACTGCCAAATCTGTTCAAAACATTTGTCTTAACAGGAAAAAGCAGTAGTAATTTCATCATTATTTATTTTCCATGTTATCACCCAATTAGAAACAATACCGGCAACGCTGCGCCAGCAAGGCACAGCGTCGAGTCTGTTTTGTATTGAGAAAGCAGTATAATGGACCAATTGTGTACTTGTCATTTTCGTCGCGACCGCAGCATAACATTATTCATGGGCCACTTGAAAAGGGTCTATGCACTACTTCGACACAAGCCACACGCGCTTGCTTTTGTCTCTCTCTACAAAATCAAATGCGCGATTTAAGCATATGCATGTGCTGCACGTTATACAGATCAGTACAGATCTAAGGCGCGAATTACACTGAAAAGGCGTAAGGTGAAGGCGCGGCGCAGACGCAGAGCAGGCGTGGCACAGATAAGGCACGGATGCGATTTAAATTATATCAAAGAGGCGAAGAGATGGCACAACAAGTCATTACATAGGGTGACTTTATCGTGATAGCATGTCTTCCTCTTCAGACGACGAAGATGCGTTGGCTTTGCTGCAACTCATTAATGTGCAGAGACACCGAAGATATTGGGTGCACCCTGTGTGGAGAATGTCACAAGAGCATAGATATTTTAAAATGATGGAAAAATTATGCGAATATCCTGATCGTTTTCCTACAGTGTATAAAATGTCACTAGAATGTTTCCACATTGTATTGTCGAAAGTGAGACACGGTCTTCAGAAGAAGCATACAAATTGGAGAGAACCGATCTGTCCTGAAGAAAGACTATTGATAACATTAAGGTTAGTAAAACATCTTTGGCATTTTTATATACTTTTATTTGTTTGATGTTTGAGTAGAAAACTGGACTAAGATTTGACAATCAGGAGGACTTGTTTGCTATCTATCAATACCAGAGATCGGAATTGGGTGTGTGAAAGAAAATACCTAAAGTTTTCAGCAGGGCATAACATGGAGTACAACCACTTAATTTGAACCGGTTTTGAATATTACCAGTTCAGTTTCGGTTTTTTTGTTTTACATGTTCCTTAACTTTGAAACACCCAACTATAAACTAAACTATGTAAAGAACGAGTAGAACTAAAAAACCGAATTTGAACCGGAAAAGTTCAAAACCAAAATTATTTTAAAACTGTATTAGCGGGAAGATGTAAAACAAAAAAGCTGAAACTGAACCGGTAAAATTCAAAACTGGTTCAACTTAAGTGGTTGTAACAGTTCCATATTATGTCCAGCTGCAAAGTTTAGGTATTTTCACACACCCAATTCCGATCTCTTATCATTACCGCAAAAATTAATAATTGGAATCATTCACATCACCATCGTGAGGTTGACTTTCTGCTTCAATTCTTTGGTGTGACGGAGGTGAAACCGAAGTAACTGGAGAAAACAATGGCAAATAAATTTGAGTCCCAGCTCGCTGGGGTGACCGACCTCTGTAAGCACCACTTGTTTGCATCTGCTGAAGTGTTGGATCTCCATATGCGCCAGTCGTTTGTGTCTGCTGAAGTGTCGGCTGTATCTGCTGAAGTGTCGGCTGTGTCTGCTGAAGTGTCAGACCTCCGTATCCGCTAGTTGTATGTGTCTGCTGAAGTGTCAGACCTCCATATGCGTCAGACGTATGTGTCTGCTGAGGTGATTGATTTCCATAAGATCCCGTTGGACTTCCATAAGATCCCACATTTGCAGGTGAATTATACTCTGACTCCCGTGATGGAGTTCTTTGGTAAGGAGTTATACTTCTCGGACATGAAATACGACTAGTGATTGGCTCTTTTAGAATTTGTTCAATTAAATTAAGTACGCCCAATTTCAATTTTCGTTTTTGGTCTTAATTCATTGTTTGCACATCTGGCATCATGCTGCGGAAAAAGGCCATGTCGGCGTCTGAATCGTCCTTATTTTTTACTTTTGTTCCTTCGTCCATATTTTGTTGTCGTGCAATTATTTGTTTATTTTTTAGGGTGAAGTATTCGTGCGCTGTCTTATTAACATCACTTATACGAATCTGTTTATTTTTTGGTGGCGGCTGTGTATGTTGTGGCGTGATAAAATCAGTCGCCTGCCGTTCACCTGCAGGTGGAGCCAGCAGACATGCATGTCAAATCGTCTTCATCTTCGATTCGGTCTGCATCGTTCCCCAAATTGCCTTTAGAGGGTCGGGATTTTAAAAAACTGTCTAGGAAACGCAAGTTTGGTGCAAGGTAGTACTCTTTAGGTGTTTTCGCAGCAGATCCAGATGGAGCACTCATGTTTCTCTTATTCTTTGAGTAACTACATCTGATGTTCTTCCATCGGTCTTTGCAGTCTTTAGCTGAAACAAAAACCAATAATTTTATTCGATGATATAATACCTATTGTTGTTTTGTATAACAACTTCGACTGGGCGCTTTCTACTCATCAATACGAACAACTTTTACTATGGGAGCAGCTTAAAAATCTTTGAAAAAAACAGCTGTTCTATATACATTTTGTTCAGTAGGTATCAAATTTTAGCATGGAACAGCTGTTTTTCTAAGATTTTTCAGTTGGTCCCATAGTAAAAGTTGTTCGTATTGAAGAGTAGAAAGCACCCTGAGTTGGGTGCTGTTTTACAAATCAACACACAGTAAATTAAATTATTATTTGTAAATGAATAGATGTATCTATCTATATACTATTATTTTTAACATCCGACGCATGAAAGGGATGGATGATGGATGTGATGTAAGAAAGTGTCACCAGACAATTACATGAATACAATACTGTCGTGTGCGAAAGGGCTTAAGTTTCATTTTTGGTCAAGCGCGATTCAGTTTCGTGTACATATTATAACTATATTTTTTTGTTACAGATACTATGCAGATGGATGTTCGTTTAAATCGCTTTCTACATATGTTCAGAGAGGCAGCACTACCGTTCAAAAAATCGTACAAGAAACTTCACGTGTACTGTGGGAATATTTACAGCCGGAATATATGCCAATACCTACAACACAAAAATGGCTTGAAGTTGCTCAACGTTTTTACACTTTATGGAATTTACCAAATTGCGTAGGAAGTATAGACGGAAAGCATATAAGAATTAAAGCACCCAAAAATTCTGGCTCAGCTTACATAAACTATAAAGGATATTTCTCTATCGTATTGATGGCAGTAGTAGATGCAGATGGCCTGTTTTTAACTATATACGTCGGCGAATATGGCCGAAACAGTGACGGGCGTGCATTCCAAGTTAGTTACTTTGGGCAAGCTATGGAACAAGGAAACCTCAATTTACCACACCCTACTCCATTGCCTGGAGAAACGAATATGGTGCCCTATTATTTTATTGCTGATGAAGCTTTTCCTCTGAAGAAAAACTTAATGAAACCGTATGGCCGAAATCAGTTAACAAATGAGAGAAGAGCATTTAATAACAGATTGTCAAGGGCACGAAAATCAGTGGAATGTGCCTTTGGTATGATAAGGACTAAATTTAGCGTCCTTAGCACATCTGTTTGCTGCGATCCAGAAAATGTCGATAGCATTATAAAAGCTATGAGCGTTTTGCATAATGTTATCCGCAAATATGATGGGAAACTCGTGGTTCCACGTTTTAATAACAGTTTAATAGGAACAAACATCAACGTGCAACAAACAAGGGAAGATCCTAAAATCATCAGAGAATATCTTACAACATACATGACAACTCGATCTCCGATTCCATTTCAAAATAGACATAATTAATAAATAAAAATAAAGTACTTACCTGTTGCACCTAGTTTTAATCCTATTTCTCTCCATATTTTGTCTTGTATATTTTTATTAGAGTACTCCGGCTTATTATAATCGTAAAGAGCTGGATATTGTTCAACTATCTCGCAGAACTGTAAGTTAAATTCACTATCGTCACGCATTTTTGCTCCTCCTGTATAACAAACGACGTATTGCTTGCGCAGCACTCCAGTCGCGACTGCTAGCGACGCGGAACAGGTGACGAAACGACGTGCCTGCGCCACGCCGCTTGAGTATAATTCACAACGTGTCGCCTACCTACATTTTGTATTGAAAACCTTTGAAGCGCCAAGATGCCTGCGCCGCGCCTTCACCTTACGCCTTTTCAGTGTAATTCGCGCCTAATGCGAAGTACGGTATCTGATCGCCAAATAATTGAAAATGGTTTTGGAAATCTCCAAAGGGATCAAAACACAAATGTTCGTCAGCGCAGATTTACCCGTATGATTCTGCGTGAGTTTGATAGAGATCCGACCACAAGTGTTAGGAGAGTTTCTGGTGCATTGGGAATTTCATCAAGCCATTTTCACCGTGTTCTTAGAAATGACCATATACGTCCTTACCTTATGCAACCTATGCAAGGACTACAGCCAGGGGAGGGAGAACGAAGAATCACATTTTGTCAGTGGATTCTTAATAGAACTGATAATAATAGGGAGTTTTTAAGTAACGTTTTATGGACCGATGAGTCATGCTTCAGTAGACGTGGAGTGGTAAATTTTCATAATCAACATATCCGGTCGCATGAAAATCCGCATGCAGTTCGGGAAAGAAATTTTCAGCATGAATTTAGTGTGAACGTGTGGATTGGTATCTACCGTAATCGATTATTTGGACCCTACCTTTTGCTTGCAAGGTTAAATGCTGCGACCGTAACCACAAGAGATATGCTAATAGACAGAATCAGGAATGCATGTGAATAATGCTATACCACGTTCGATCATTCGTAGATGTGAATTGTGTATTGAACAATTGGGTTTACATTTTGAGCAACTACTTTTGATTTTGTATGTTTGTCCTAACTATCCAATAGCATTTTAGTTGTAAATAATTAATTAGATTTGTTAAAAATAATATTGGAAAATTAAACAAATTAATATTCTGTTGTTTTGTGTTTAATTGGAGTTAGGAATTATTGCTGTGTTTAAAAACACAATCTAAACGATCATCTTAATTACTTGTAATGCCCAAATCGAAAATGTAAAAAAAATATTATTTTCCCATAAATAATTAAAAATGCATCGAACCTTAAAAATCGAAATATTTTAAAAACGGCTTACTATAACGAAAACTCACAGGATAGCTTTTTTATGCAGAAAAGTGCGAAGAATCATTTTTTTTATTCAAAAAGCAAAAAATTGCACTAAGAAAATTTTTTCGGTCATTTTAATACACTACAGGTACAGTAGAGAGCGCCCTCTAGCGGCTACAGTAAAACTATGTCCATGGTTCGTTTTGTCGTACCAAAAAACCCTTGTATACCAATTTTCACTGTTATACATCAAATATTGTTCGAAATATTTACAAAAAACTATTTTAAAAAGTAAATTTAAACACCCTGTATTTCGGAAGCCACGCATTTTTCGACCCATGTTTATATAGACTTTATATAATATTGGAAAATTAAACAAATTAGTATTTTGTTTTTTGTGTTTATTTGGAGTTGTTTAAAAACACAATCTAAACGATCATCTTAATTACTTGTAACTCCGAAATCGCAAATTAAAAAAAAAATATTATTTTCCCATAAATAATTAAAAATGCATCGAACCTTCAAAATCGAAATATCTCAAAAACGGCTAACTATAACGAAAACTCACAGGAGAGCTTTTTTATGCAGAAAAGTACGAAGAATCATTTTTTTATTCAAAAAGCAAAAAATTGCACCAAGAAAAAATTTTAATACACTACAGGTACAGTAGAGAGCGCCCTCTAGCGGCTACAGTAAAACTATGACCATGGTTCGTTTTTTCGTACCAAAAAACCCTTGTATACCAATTTTCACTATTATACATCAAATATTGTTCGAAATATTCAAAAAAAACTATTTTAAAAAGTAAATTCGGAAGCCACGCATTTTTCGACCCATGTTTATATAGACTTTATGCATTAATTTTAAAATTTCTATCGAATGTTATGCAACAACAAACTGGAACACCCTGTATACTACAAATATCTATAATGAATATTTTATAAATATATAAGAAATAAATTTATTAAATATTAAAAAATCCGTCCCTACAAATATTTAACAAACATTTTTTTTTAATATTTAATAAATATTTAAGGCTATCGGGGTTGTAGTGTTACCATCAAAGGGATTCGTCAATTAACCGACAGTCAAGTGGAACACGACTTGCTCGACGTTGGCGGCTCTGTTCGGGGCTGATTCACTAGCGAATTTTTTTGTTACATTACAGCGCTCGGCTTCAAACAGTCGCCGCCTTAATGCTCCGAGTTTTGTAACATCCTCATAGAAATAAATTCACGTTCCTCTCCGGGCATTATTACTATATTTTTCCACAAGGTAATTCTTTCTGCACAACCGCTATGTTCGAAGATGTATCGTACGAATTTCAGATTCGTTACACCTACATAAATGTATTTACCTTGTCTCCCAACTGGAATCCGTAGCAACTACCTCCCATTTACTTTTGTCGTCCGTTTGTCTCTCCACTTTCAGGAAGGTATCCTCCTGCAACAAATTGTTCCGGGGATGGCCGGATATCTGGAAAGACAGAAGATGTTTAACTTTCGTGTGGGTAGATATGCACAGAGGGATTCTCTGACGTTTTGTTCTTTATGGGTCTAAATAGGGTGAATATATCTTGACAACAGTGGCTAGGCTTATTGTTTTTACTTCTATTTTACGTGTACGTACTGAGACGTAGGAAAAGTCAGGGAGACTTGACCTACTTTCCACATGAGACTATAGAATATTAGACAGCATTCTTGACTGGTGCCAGAATAACGACTCGATGCTTAGTCCCAGCAAATTTAAAGTAATGTCCATTACTAGGAAACAGTCTATCATAATATATGATTATATACTGGAAAATCGCAAACCTGACAGAGTACAGGAAGCATTACTAGGCATTACTATTAGTTTAGATCTGTCATTTTCAGATAGTTATACAGTGGACCTCCGATAATCCGACAAACATTATGAAGGGAGTGTCGGATTATAGAGCACTGCCTAAGACCCCCTATAGTCCGGAATTTTTTACAAAAGAGTACTTTGTAATCCGACAAACTACATATCCAATGGTAAGATTACATATGTTATGTATATGTATGTACTTTGAAGTACAAATCATACATAGTTTATGTATGTCGAATTTAATAAATTAAATAACAATAGAGAGCTTACGTTTTATTATAAAATTAAGCATAAATGCACATACATATCTACCAAAGTAATCAAGAATTATTAATCAAAATCATTAATGAATTTATCAAATTATGAAGCTTGGAAATATTCATCAACTTTTTTTTGTTTAAGGTTGTTATAACGCGAGATCAGAGCTTTGTCCCTTAGTCTTCTCAAAAGTAAAATTTCGTTGTAGGATGTACCATTCTCTTCAGCCCATTGTAAACCTAGGTCAAAGGCGTTAACTGCGTCTTGTGCTGTGACTTGTGGAGCAGTTGCAATCGCGTCGTCGTTATTTTCCTGATTGTTTGTTGTATAATTAGAAACCTCTTTTATAATCTCTTCGTCAGACATTTCATGAAAAACATTTTCCTCTTTATCGATTCCACGGCACCAGATTTCCAAATCTTCCCGACTTATCTGTGTTTCAGTAGCGACTTGTTCTATAACTTCCGAAGTAACACTGATTTTTGGAACGTTGCTAGGAGTGGTGACTATATCTGACCATAACTTTTTCCAAGACGATTTAATATAGTAAGTGACATATAAATCCGAACACCCAGTTTAAATGGTTTTATTTTAATAAAAGTTGGTGAATGTATTTATCTTACTGTAAATAACAAGTGAAAAAATTTTCAGCCTTATCAGTTGGACATTCCGGTTTTTATACTGCTTTTTTTTAATTCACTAACGCTCTAAAAATGAATATTTCAGCCACAGTAAAGAATCAACGTTGGCGGATTTTGGTTCTTGACATCCTTTACGATCGGTTACGATGGCCCCAAAATAATCTTTTTTTGTTATTTCCTTATAAAAAAACTTAGCTTTCATGGCCAACATGGATCCTGAAATTGGTGCATGCCTATTTCTTTCCTTTTTAGAAGAAAATAAATTACTTTTAAAGAATTTCGCATAGCGTAAGCGTTTATTCTGAAAAAATTGTGTACAACACTACCATTCTTCCGCATTTGTTATATTGTTAGACTATTTTGTTCACTGCAATTGAAACTGTATTTTCAAAATTACAAATATTATAAAATAAAGCTATGAGAATCATCTTAAATAAAAATAAACATACTGGAATCAATTTTATGCTGAAAGAACTACAATGGTTGAATATCAAAAATTTCATAGCCCACTTGGTTTTCATTTTCATATTCAAGTTAAAAAATCATCTTCTACCAAATCACTTAGAAAATTTTATTGCATTGAGCAATGAGTGCCACAATTTTTCTACTAGAGGAAGTATAGACTTTCATTTACAAAACTGCAGTAGCAATATAACAAGCAAGTTAGTATTTCAAAAGGGATTGTACGAATTTAATAAATTAAGTAATGATATCAAGATGTGTGTCAGTTTGAAAATGTTCAAAGGGAAATTGAAAAAATATTTCATGGAAAACCAGAATTCATAGTAGTGAAATTTTGTATAAAAATATGTAGTCTTGAAGACATAATATGTTTTGTGATATAAATATATAAATAAATAAATCTGAAACAAACACATATTTGACTGAAAAAACAACTACAGTGAAAGCTCCCATAAGCGGACACTCACGGTTCCGTAACTTTTGTCCGCTTATGGGAGGTGTCCGTTTAAAAGAGAGTATGTAAGTATAGAGTATAAATAACGGGGTACATAATCATGAGGAAATGAGGTATTATAATCATGAGAAAAATTAAACAGAAACTCGCCACATTTTTAAAGTATGTATTTATGCTATATATCTATATAATATATGTACATATACGCATACAAAAACATAAATGCTTCAATACATGGTACGAGAATTTAAAAAAAACATTATTCTTTAGCTTGTTGAAAAAAGTTTAAAATGTTTGTCTGACGAAATTTCACCATCTTTTGCTGAAGGAGACAAGTTTCGTAATAAGTTCCACTTCTTCGTCTGAGTCGTTTGGACTACCATATTCAAGTTGGCCTGGGCTTTCTACATCCAAATTCGAAAAGTTGCCAATGGCATTTTCTTCTGTTGTTATGTTATTGTCTATGGCGAGGAAATCATCTACTTTCTGGGGATCTGCTACTCCTAAATCTTTGGCATGTCGCAGTAACTGAGCAAGTGTCGCTAAGGGCAGTTCGTCTTCAGCATCGCAATAATTTTGCTCAGCAAATTCTGAGCTACATTCACTTTTTCTGAATCCAGCTTTGCCAAAACAGTTTTTAATTGTAGAGGAATTTACTTTATTCCATGCTGTTTTTATAAAATACAAAGCTTCTAACACATTGATAGACTTTGTAAGTTCAGATAAGCTTTGACCATCGTCAATTTTTGTTAAAATATGTTTTAAAATCAAGTGCCGATAATAAAATTTAAAGTTCTGTATGACACCTTGATCCATGTGCTGACAAACAGAAGTTGTGTTTGGCGGTAAAAATATAATTTTCACATTTTTCATTTTCATATCACGAGGATGAGAGCATGCATTGTCTAAAAATAAAAGAACTTGCCTTATTTAGATTCTCATTTTCCGGTCGAATTCGACTAACCACTCAGACATGATTTCTCGGGTCATCCATGCCTTTTTGTTGGATTTCCAAGTCGCTGGTAGATCCTTAATAGCAACGTTTTTTAAAGCACGGGGACGAGCCGCTTTCCCGATCACAATCAAATCGCATTTTTCACTGGCCATATTTGCACAGAATAAAATGGTTAGTCTATCTTTAGACAACTTTCCACCCACACATGTTTCTCCTTTAAAGGACAGAGTTTTGTCGGGCAATGCGCGAAAAAAAAGTCCACTCTCATCTGCGTTGTACACATCTTCTGGTTTGTAGCCAAGCAACATGGACGGAAGTTTCTCCAAAAATTGTGATACATCAACTTGATCTACTGCAGCAGCTTCGCCAGATATGCATTTGAAACTCACACTATGTCTCTTGCGCCACTTTTGCAGCCACCCGTCGGACGCACTGAAATTATTATAGCCCAAAGTAGTGGCGATTTCTTTAGCTTTCATTTTCACTAACGGCCCTGAGATTGGAATGTTCTGACTTCTAGCTTTCACAAACCACTCAAAACATGTTTTGTCTATAGCAAAACCTTCCTTTTTTAAAAAATCCTTCTTTTGATTTATATTAGTTCCTGATTGCCATTTACTCCTGATATCTTCCTTATTTTTGGCAATTTCAGCTGCTTGCGTTTTCCCAATATTAAACCTCTTTGCCAAATGACGAACTGAAACACTTTCTCTGTCTAATACGTTAACAACTTCCATCTTTTCCTTTAACGAGAGCATCCTTTTTTTTGGTGCCATTTTACAGTTACAATAATAAAATACGTAACTCAATCAACTACGAATTTGCCTGTACTGAAGACAAGCCACAAGATTACATACAGGCTACCCAACGAAATGCGTAAATGGGGAATCACCTAATATAAATCGGGGAATTACCGAATTTTATGTATGTAGATATGTGCATTGCAATAAGCGGAACTAAAAAATCGTCCGGGTATTAGAGTTTCGCGTCCGCTTATGGGAGATTTTTTGATCACATACAGGAAAATCTAGTGTCCGCGTCCGTTTATAAGAGCGTCCGTTTATCGGAATGCATTTAACATTGAAAATTGATGGCTGAAATTCGGTTCCAGGAACTTTGTCCGGTTAAAAGAGATGTCCGCTTATAGGAGCTGCCCGCAAGGAGAGCTTTCACTGTATTTATGTTGAATAACATGTTCAATGATATATTTGGTAATTGTAATCATAAAAGAAATGTATTGACGGTCAAAATTTAAAAAAACGTAAATTAATTTTACTGCCTTTTACCTAAGCACTGCTGTAGTCATCTCAAGACTTTGGTAGCCATTAGTGGGTAATACTTTTATAAAAGAAATGTGTGAACCGCTTCAAAAGAATCTGTAGACAAGGTTGGTATTTGAACTTACGAATTTAACAGAAACCGTATCTCCTACATGTACGACGCCTGGTGGTTGTTGAGTGCAGTCGCCAAAGTTGTTGAACCATCCTGCCAGGTCGAACAACACTGGAGGAACTAGAGAAATTAGCTGGTTGGGGAATTGGTACGGAAGTGGTCCTACGTCGATTTTTGTACCCTGAAATTAGAGAGACAAGATTCTGTACATACGAAGGCTTGACCAAAGCCAGACGAGTAAACTACTTGGAATTTCACTAATTATATGGGGTTGTCCCAAACGGATGCAGGAAAGTAAACGCGTATTAAAACAAGAAAGATTGATATTCAAATCAAGTTGGGTCCTTTATTTTGAAGGTTCATTTATACCATTTATGTATGAAAAATAATATCGCTCAAATGTTCACCACGACTGGATTTACAGACGTCCACGCGATGGTCGAAATTTTCAATGACATTTTGCAACATGGTCGGTTCTATGGCATTTATCTCGGCAATGATGTTGTTTTTGAGTTCTTGGAGGGTGGCTGGTTTGTTGACGTAGACTTTGCTTTTCAAATATCCCCATAAAAAGAAGTCCAAGGGAGTCAAATCGCACGATCTTGGTGGCCATGGCACATTTCCTCTGCGCCAAATCACGCGATCACCGAAGAAGGACTGCAATCGATGGATATTGACGTTGGTTGTGTGGCATGTTGCACCGTCTTGTTGGAAATAAACATCGTCCATATCCATTCCTTCAAGTTGCGGCAAAAAATAGTCCTCTATCATCACGTGATATCGCTCAGAATTGACGGTAACGGCGTCCCCGGCCGCATTTTCGAAAAAGTAAGGTCCGATGATGCCTTTTGACCACAATGCACACCACACAGTCACTTTTTGAGGATGCATCGGCTGCTCTTGATACTCACGGGGATTTTCGTTAGCCCAGATACGGCAGTTTTGCTTGTTTACCGTCCCATTCAAAGTGAAATGCGCTTCGTCGCTGAACATGATTTTTTATGAAAAATTGGCATCAATTTGGCGGTGTTCAAGGAGCCAATCTGAGAACGTTCGGCGCGAAAAATGGTCGGCCTGACGCAGCTCTTGCGTCAATTTGATCTTGTAGGCGTGTACATTCAAATCCTTGTGGAGAATGCGGAGCAAACTGGTTCTCGAAATGCCCAATTCTTGGGATCGACGCGTTGTTGATTGTTTCGGATCGTCTCTCACACTCTCCTTCACAACAGCAATATTTTCCGGTGTGCGAACGCTCCTTGGCCGGCCAGAGCCTGGCAGATTTTCCACAGAACCCGTTGCCTCGAATTTACGCACCAGACGACCGATGGTTATTTCGTTTGGGCGGTTGTTGCGACCGAAATGTTCACGAAGCGCGCGAAACGTGTTTTTTATTTTGGCACCATTTTTGTAGTGCTCTTGAATAACTGTAATGCGGTCTTCAATCGAATACGACTCCATAGCGATCAATTTTAAACATTCAACTAACAAAATGACATGTCGGTGACAGAAAACAAGGATGGCGTCTATGTCAAATTGACGTTTACTTTCCTGCGTCCCTATTGGACAATATATAATTACTAGGATAGGATATAGTCTATAGACTGGGCCGTTACTTAAACACACAATCTTTTACTTCTCTCGAAGTATTAAAATAGCGAAAAATTTCGAAAATAACATATTATGTCTCTTGAGTAATGTCGCTCGGATTTCGATGAAATTTTTAAATAATGTTACTATAAAGACAAGGAAGCAAGAACATTAGTTTTTGAAAATAGATCCAGTGACGGCAGATAAGAAGGCCCAAAGGGAAAGAAATAAAAATTGCTCAAACTTTGGGGTGGGTATTGTAAGGAAATGGGGAGGGTTATCTCAATTTGTTGAAGATGGTATATTTATACGCTACCAACATTGGTAATTCCACGCAGCTATTAGACATATTTCACACAGCAGAGATACCTCTGTATACAGGGTGTCAGGGAAATAAAATTCGTAGCTTTAAGAGGTGATTCCTTGCATTATTCTAAGCAAAAAAGTTCATTATAGCCTATGTCCGAAAATCAACCGTTTCGGAGCAAAAAATGCTGAACTTATTTCTTTTTAGTCGTGAAATAAATTAACCTTGCAACTTAATAATTTAAATTCATATGCCTAATAGCGTAAAACGTATACATATATTTATTAATTAACTGTTTCTAACAAAATAATTTTCTTGCTTATTAAATACAATTTTCCGAAGAAAAACGGAGAAACAAAATCTCTCACAGAACTGGCAACGTCGTACTGCGCCCGCATTTCCAACAAAAATTTCATACAAACGAAAACAATTCGACGAATCAGTTGCGGTCGTCGTGCGCTCGTATCGCGGTTGCGTTGCAGCGTTGCCACATGTTTGAGAAAATTTAATTATTTACGACTCACTTTCCTCGAAAACGATTGATTTTCGGACATAAGTTATAATGAGCTTTTTTGCTTAGAATAATGCAAGAAATCACCTCTTAACGAATATTATTTCCCTAACAACCTGTATAGCCCTAAAACCCCAGAAAAACATTTTTTACAGACATCGTGCGCCGACCGTGATGACTTGTCTTTTATGGAATCACACGTATTTCTGTCGAGCAACAGCATAGTGTTTTCTATCCTCTGATCTCACTACTACGCCCCCGAAAGGTTCGACTATCTGGCAAAGCACGATCGGGATATCTCTGGTGATAAATCCGTCTGGCTTGCTCACCATTACCGTCGGCAAGGCCATATACGTAATGCATTTCCGCCATTTCTGCATTCGAATAATTCACCATTATTAACAAGATTGTAAAAACTAAATAATGAAAAAGATGTCACAGCCAACAGGTTTGAACAACAGAGACGTGTCAGACGGACTGTTTTTGGCGGATGGTCAAGTGTATTGAATGAGGTAGAAATTACTTTGATTGAAGTCAATAAACTGCAAAACTATAGTACCCTTTGTAGGTCACTGGTACCACATTATCTTCACTGCTAAACCGAAAAATCATCATTGTTGGCCAAAATGCCTTCGTGAGAGGTCGCAATTCTCATACCCGGGTACGATCCGGGTGCCTGGGTATTCTTAAAAAATAATCGATACCCGCGAAAACTCTAGTGGTAAGCAAAATGATAATTTAATTGGTCTTACCTTGAGCATAGCTGTTACTAACTGTCTGTACTTTTTCAAGTATATTGTTAGTGTGTGTGGTCCGAAAATAGTTGAGGCGCCTTCGTATCTCTGGAGCTGTACGATAAAAACAAAACGTATTTGTATTGAATCATTTTCATGGAGTTGCACGTCTATGATAAATGTATGGTCAACTGTAAGGAGTGACCTATAGAAGCTATTATGTTCCGGTCTCGTCGAAGTAAATATTAAGAATACATATCGTAGTACCCTCGTAGTAGTACCCAACAGTCACGATTTGAAAGCGCGCGCGCGAGAAGGAAACCGGCACCGCGCCCCTTCCCTCTGGCCGCCTATAAACCTTCATTCCTGCGTCGTTTATGTGCAGTGCAGTGCGAGGATCCGCTGAACATTTAGAATTAGAAAGCGGGAGAGAAGGTTGACCGATAGATGTGCTTTGTCGAACGAGATACCGACCGACGGTCGCCTGAAGATTGCAAGTTAAATGAATATTAGTACGGATGCCTCACCGGCGCTGCAAATTGTGCCTAGTTTGACGTTTGAGATAACGTTCTGATGCTGTTGCTTGGGATAGCAACCTGGACCTAGCTTATGATAGCCAACTTCATACAAAGGACGAACGAAGACGTTTGGGATAACGCTGAAACATTGGACTCGGTTGCTTGGGATAGCAATGTGGACCCGGCTTGGGATAGTCAGCTCCACACCAAGGACGAATGAAGACGTTTGGGATAACGCTGACACATTGTACTCGGTTGCTTGGGATAGCAACGTGGACCCGGCTTGGGATAGTCAGCTCCACACCAAGGACGAACGAAGACGTTTGAGATAACGCTGAAACATTGGACTCGGTTGCTTGGGATAGCAACGTGGACCCGGCTTGGGATAGTCAGCTCCACACCAAGGACGAACGAAGACGTTTGCTATAACGCTGAAACATTAGACTCGGTTGCTTGGAATAGCAACTTGGACCTGGCTTGGGATAGTCAGCTCCACACCAAGGACGAACGAAGACGTTTGCTATAACGCTGAAACATTAGACTCGGTTGCTTGGAATAGCAACGTGGACCTGGCTTGGGATAGTCAGCTCCACACCAAGGACGAACGAAGACGTTTGGGATAACGCTGAAACATTGGACTCGGTTGTTTGGGATAGCAACGTGGACCCGGCTTGGGATACTCAGCTCCACACCAAGGACGAACAAAGACGTTTGGGATAACGCTGACACATTGTACTCGGTTGCTTGGGATAGCAACGTGGACCCGGCTTGGGATAGTCAGCTCCACACCGAGGACGAACGAAGACGTTTGAGATAACGCTGAAACATTGGACTCGGTTGCTTGGGATAGCAACGTGGACCCGGCTTGGGATAGTCAGCTCCACACCAAGGACGAACGAAGACGTTTGGGATAACGCTGGAACATTGCACTCGGTTGTTTGGGATAGCAACGTGGACCCGACTTGGGATAGTCAGCTCCACACCAAGGACGAACGAAGACGTTTGGGATAACGCTGAAACATTGGACTCGGTTGCTTGGGATAGCAACGTCGACGTTGCTGGGGATAGTCAGCTCCACACCAAGGACGAACGAAGACGTTTGGGATAACGTGGAAGCATTAGACTCGGTTGCTTGGGATAGCAACGTGGACCTGGCTTGGGATAGTCAGCTCCACACCAAGGCCGAACGAAGACGTTTGGGATAACGCTGAAACATTGGACTCGGTTGCTTGGGATAGCAACGTGGACCTGGCTTGGGATAGTCAGCTCCACACCAAGGACGAACGAAGACGTTTGGGATAACGCCGAAACATTGGACTCGGTTGCTTAGAATAGCAACGTGGACCTAGCTTGGGATAGACAGCTCCACACCAAGGACGAACGAAGACGTTTGGGATAACGCTGAAACATTGTACTCGGTTGCTTGGGATAGAAACGTGGACCCGGCTTGGGAAAGTCAGCTCCACAGCAAGGACGAACGAAGACGTTTGGGATAACGCTGAAACATTGGACTCGGTTGCTTGGGATAGCAACGTCGAAGCTTGCTTAGGATAGTCAGCTCCACACCAAGGACGAACGAAGACGTTTGGGATAACGTGGAAGCATTAGACTCGGTTGCTTGAGATAGCAACGTGGACCTGGCTTGGGATAGTCAGCTCCGCACCAAGGACGAACGAAGACATTTTTGATAACGTTGTAATATTGGACTGGGTTGCTTGGGATAGCAACGTGGACTCGGCTTGGGATAGTCAGCTCCACACCAAAGACGAATGAAGACGTTTGGGATAACGTGGAAGCATTAGACTCGGTTGCTTGGGATAGCAACGTGGACCTGGCTTGGGATAGTTAGCTCCACAAGACGGACGAACGAAGAAGTTTGGGATAACGCCGAAACATTAGATTCGGTTGCTTGGGATAGCAACGTGGACCCGGCTTGGGATAGTCAGCTCCACACCAAGGATGAACGAAGACGTTTAGGATAACGCTGAAACATTGGACTCGGTTGTTTGGGATAGCAACGTGACCTGGCTTGGGATAGTCAGCTCCACACCAAGGACGAATGAAGACGTTTGGGATAACGCTGAAACATTGGACTCGGTTGCTTGGGATAGCAACGTCGACGTTGCTGGGGATAGTCAGCTCCACACCAAGGACGAACGAAGACGTTTGGGATAACGTGGAAGCATTAGACTCGGTTGCTTGGGATAGCAACGTGGACCTGGCTTGGGATAGTCAGCTCCACACCAAGGCCGAACGAAAACGTTTGGGATAACGCTGAAACATTGGACTCGGTTGCTTGGGATAGCAACGTGGACCCGGCTTGGGATAGTCAGCTCCACACCAAGGACGAACGAAGACGTTTGGGATAACGTGGAAGCATTGAACTTCATTGCACAAATAACAACACTGAAAGCGTTTGGGACAACGTAGCAATAAGGTATGGTCAACAATAATTTCTCTTTTGCTTATGATAGCAAATTTCATCTGGTTTGTGATAACCATGGAACAGGACTGTAAGTTTGAACATGGCAGGCTAGGAAGTTGTTAAGATATATTTTTTCCTTATTACTAGATAGAGATTAGGTATGTTATTTGAGGTTAGCGTTACATTAAAAAATAGAGATTAGTTTCATATATGCGAGACTAGCATTACATTTTGTTTGAGGTAGCAAATCCTATCTAGTTTGTAATAGGAATGTAGCAATATAGCATTTTTCATGTATAACAGATAAAAATTGGGTACATCTATGTGAGACTAGCGGTACATTTTGCTTGGGATATCAAATTCCACTTGGTTTGTGTCAACCGTGGAACAGGTGTGTAAGTATGAACATGTCAGGTTAGAAAACCGCCCATGTATATCTTTTTCTTGTCACCAGATAAATAATAGGCACTTTTTGCGAGGTTAGCGTTACATTTTACTTGTGATAGCAAATTCTTTATGGCTTGGAATAGCCATCGAACAGGTCAATAATATGCACATGACAGGTTACGAAACAGCTGAAGTACTGTTTTTCATTAACAACATATAGAAATTAGGTACATCTATGGTAGACTAGCGTTACATTTTACTTGTGATAGCAATTTCCACATGTTGCAACAACTTGGTTTTGAAGTAAATGAAGGTTTATATGCGACCAGTGGAGAGAAACGTAGAGGGAAGGGGCGCGGTGCCGGTTTCCTTCTCTGCGCGCGCGCATTGAAATCGTGGCGATTGGGTACTACTACGAGGGTACTACAATATGTATTCTAAATATTTCCTTCGACGAGGACTTCACATAACTTACAGGTAAGTTCGTTTGATCATGTAAATATAGGGTTCTTGCCTTACACGATTGATTTTTGGCTAGATATCCAACAATGATGACCGATACTTACGAGTATTAAATTAAACCAAGGGTTACCCGCACCTGAATCCAATAATCGAGGTACTTAAATCCTGGAGAGACATTATACCTTTTACTGTTGGAAAATGATTAAAACCCTGGTCTCGAATGCAGTTTCAGACAGAAGCAGGCTTTAATTCCGCTTTTTCAGCTTAAATTAAAGCTAATTCTATGTTGAACGTGGATGGAGCCTGAACACGGGCAATATTGTCACTACATTATTTAGGTGCGACAAAGGAGCCAGCTTAATACGTCAATTATTTTAGAGTGCTGCAGCTGGATTGCAACAAATGTTCGACATTTTCCGACCTACTTATATACCGATGTCAGATTGCCGAACTATCGGAATCCTACCTGTGTAATCTAATATAAAGTGACATGACGCGTACAGTTTTGTCTTTCGTTCCATTTACGCCAAGACAAAACACAACATGCCCAAAAGCCCAAGATTGTACAGGTCCGTATTTTCCTCGATGGTCGTGGAATAATCCAACAAAATAAATGATTATTTTTATAGAAAGAAGTGCACATACTTTTCACAATTCTTTATTCGCTGAAGGTACTTGAATCATCGTCCGAATGGTTGACTCCCCTTTCCACAAGTAGTCTAATCATATTAGCAAATTCCCTCGAAACATATAATTGTAAAGTCTGGTTGTATCGATGCAAGGTGTGCAAGGGCTGTCAAATTAGCTGATTATCCGAATGTTTCTTAATGGGTTTATAGTGTAGTCAACAAGCAATATCTACCTGATACTCCTCTGGTGTAGCTATATAGCTAGAATACATGTTGCTTAGCCCCGTTACGACAACTTTGGGATCTGAAGGTCCTCCTTCGGCGATAACCTGGACGAAAATAACATATTACACTATTTTTATTAACAAGAGAAATTCAGCTCAATAATCGCAAAAACCAAAGGAACTAGTAGAAAGTACCATTATAATCAAATTGCTCACATTTTTGTACTTGGGTCCCAAACATATTAATCTGTAGTTTCTTCATTTATTTTTATTTAGCCAAAGAGGTCGCACTACCCTATTTGTTCTAGGAATCAAGGCCCCCTTCCCAAGAACCCCACGGCCTAAACGTGTTTTCTTATGCAAGGTGTTCATTAGAAAAGTTTCCACCACGGATTTTATCGAAAACCACAGATCAAAAAAAAAATGTCGAGTCACGTCCAAAGATTTGGCAAGGAGGGCAACTTTTTAACCAAAAACTACTTACCCCCTTCGGTTTTTGATAAATCCGTGGTGTTAATTCAAGCAATTGGATTTTCGATTAAAAATGTAATTAACTTTGTGGGAACTAACATGTAAACTTAGTAAATTAAGCACCGTTTACTTGAATCCATGAAACTAGTATAATTAAACCAAAACGCACTCATTTAATTAAATTGATTAAACCGTTTACTTAGATTAGGTACACCAATTTATTTAAAATTAATGAACCATACAAATGAGCTTACCTACTCCAAGTGGAACAAGTTAAATACATTTATTAAATTTGATTAACCAGTTTAGGTAAGCGCATTTGTCTAGACTTGGTATTATTTTATTTAGATTTGAAAGTATATGTATACAGGGTGGCCCATCCATGTGTGGACGGAATATTACTCATAAACAAATACATTTTGGGAAAATCTAGTTATGGCATGTAATACATGACATTTGATGGCACAATTTCTAAAGTTTAAGCAATTATACAGGGTGTCTCAATTTTGACCTACATATCAAAGTTGTGATTTTTCAAAATGGAATGCCTCAAATTTTATTGCATATTTGGATGAACCAATTCAAAAGAAGAAGATTGATATATCATACTATGGGCTTTTGGTAATTAGTTACTGAGATGTAAGGCGTTTTGTCCAAAAAAAAAACGACCACTTCGGCAACCCCGCCATCCGCCATTTTGAAATCTACGGTGCTGAATTTTATATCAAAAAAAACTTACACACCTCAGCTTTAATCTGATTTGTTACTTTTTCGAATTTTGATTTTTGCTCATACAGGGTGGTCAAAAACGCGAATTGTACTTTTTATGAAAAAATTAATTTAGGAAATTAAGACGTGCTAATAACCGAAGACCGAAGACCCTTATGTGTCTAGTAACAAAAAAAAAGCTTATAAAAAAGTGAATCCTAACTTGCACAAATATATAGGGTGATGCATTTGAAATTTTTGACATAAACTATAATTTGCGTTTTGGACTCTGTCTGAGCAAAAATTAAAATTCGAACAGGTAACAAATAAGATAAAAGCTGATGTATGTAACTTTTTTTGATACAAAATTCAGCACTGCAAATTTCAAAATGGCGGACTGAGGGGTTGTCGAAGTGGGTGGTTTTTCTAGACAAAATACCTTATATCTCAGTAGCTAATTACCAAAACCCGATAGTATATTATATCAATTTTCTTTTTTTGAATATGCAATACAATTTGAGGCATTCCATTTAAAAAATCACAAATTTGATACGTAGGTCGAAATTGGGACACCCTGTATAATGGCCAATATTTTAGAAATGCGCCCTCAAATGTCATGTATACCATCCCATTAATAGATTTTCCCAAAATGTATTTGTTTATGAGTAATATTCCGTCAACACATTGATGGGCCACCCTGTATATATAGATACATAGCAAATTGGCATAGTATATTACTTGAAATTAAACTGGTTCCAAAAAGTTCAGTGTAATTATTCCGAATAGTTTAATTATTTATAATAATTGATAAAAACATTACGGGCAATGAAAATTTTCAAGAGCAACTGTTTAATTGACCACGTTTTCTCAGTCTTCAGCATGCTATACCTCAGATAGATAAGGCTCTTATGTTTTGACCACAAAGGCATTCGTTGTAAGCGCCAAACCCCCCTCCCCCCGCTCTTTGATTTTCAATTTGCGAGACGAGTATATTGATATATTTCTGAACATGAATCCTGGGCCGTCGAGAATTTTTTTCTGGATCCGCTAGTGCTCGGGTCTCCATCACCTGTAGATTTAAGGATTTAAAACTTTTCGATATATACAAAGTGACATATAAATCCGAACACCCAGTTTAAATGATTTTATTTTAATAAAATTTTGTATAAGTACTTAATGAAGCATAATAAGTAAATGATAAAAATTTCAAAATGATTGGACTGCTTTAAAGCCCTTTGACCTTTAATAATGTGTGGATGCACCCTGATGTGCTACGCATTCTCCAACGCGCCTAGGCATGCTTCTGATCAGGTGGTCAATGTCCTCCTGTGGTATCTCATTCCAGGCAACCACCAACTCCTCTCGAAGTGCTTCTAGAGTCTGAGGAGGACGTTGCAAATTGAGCAATCTCCTACCCATCATATCCCACACGTGCTCAATTGGGGATAAGTCGGGAGATCTTGGTGGCCATGGTAACAATGTGACATCATTATGTTGAAAGAAGTCTATTGTGTCTCTTGCAACATGTGGTCGGGCATTATCTTGTTGGAAAGTTGGATCTGCCAGGGTGTCAAGATAGGGTAAAAGATGGGGTTATAGAACTTCGTGGATATAACGCTGCGCGTTCATGTTACCTCTGATGAAGATTAAAGGTGACCTGGAACCATAAGCTATAGCACCCCAAACCATAACTCCAACAGTGTAATGAACATGTCTTTCAACAAAAAACTGTGGATTCCTCCTTTCACCACGTCGCCTTCTAACACTGGCACGACCATCGTACATGCCTAAACAAAATCGAGACTCATCACTAAAGACAATACTGTTCCATTCCTGATCACAGAGTGACCGTTGTCTGCACCACTCAAGGCGGTTACGTCGGTGTTCTCGAGTTAAAGGGAGGACCCAGTGTGGCCGGTATGAAAACAAGCCAAAACTTCTCATTCGTCGGTAAACACTTCGCATGCCAATAGGTCTTCCGTGTTCTGCAAACCATTCATTTGCAATGGACCTGGTAGTGGAGAAACGGTCCCTTAAGGCCAATAATCTTAGGCGGCGATCTTCACGGTCTGTTGTTCTACGGCGGCGTCCAGTGTCCCTTGCTCTTTGCGTACGGCCTTCTCGAAGCCATGCCTGACAACACCTAACCACAGTGTCTACACTTCTTTGCACTCTAACTGCAATTGCCCGAAAAGAAAGTCCAGCTTCTCGAAGTCCCACTATACGGCCCCTATCAAACTCACTAAGTTGACGAAATCGTACAGGTCTCCGTACTCTAGGCGTCGTAACCGATCGTAAAGGTTGTCAAGAACCAAAATCAGCCAACGTTGATTCTTTACTGAAGCTGAAATATTCATTTTTAGAGCGTTAGTGAATTAAAAAAAGCAGTATAAAAACCGGAATGTCCAACTGATAAGGCTGAACATTTTTTCACTTGTTATTTACAGTAAGATAAATACATTCACCAACTTTTATTAAAATAAAACCATTTAAACTGGGTGTTCGGATTTATATGTCACTTAGTATAATATGATCGATCATCTTCAGGCTAGCAGATGACGCTTGTCACCAGCGACCAACGCCGTTTTTTCTAACATTCAATCTAAATACTTATAGATACCTGTTGTCTGACAGCGTCCCTCATCCGTCTTCCAGACATGGTGGTGAGTTCTCCCGGTACAGCTGTGAGGAAAGCGTTGCCTATCTTTACAACCTGAGTGGGTACGACGTCAGGTTGCCACTCGTACGGCAATTTTATCTGTAAAGTAACAACAATTTTGTTTTCTTTGAAAGTAAAAAACAGATGAAGAAATGATTCATATTGCAACGCCCTCGTATAACTGGAGCTGTGAGTACGGAATTGCAACGTTTTGTCAGTGCCGAAGACGGTCTAAAGAGCATGATTGATACTGGAAGGTAATGTCCGAGCAATAAATTATAGACAAAAGGAACCGCATTCTATTGGGTGGGCTTGGTTGGGTTATCTCCAGTGGTGGTGGGCTTTCCCAATATGATGTGATTTTCAAAGCAGATGACATCTTTATTTGTAGAATATCTCCAGACTTTTGAAAAGAAAAATATTTCTCTCAAATTTCAATATTCAGGGAGAAGCGGGTTGTTTGATTAATTTTGATGTGGTAGGTCGGATGTTTGGTATTGAATATACAAGCCGATCACAGTTACGTATGGAAAATGAACAATCTCATCTAAAATATAAGTATGAAAAACATTTAGACTACGGAATTATTGCTGGCTATTTATCCTTCTAGCTACTAGTAGCTATGAAAAGTATTTCACCAGTATTTAGTTAAACCACTTTCTGTGTCTATACAAAACTGCATTCTGGTCTACATGCTTCTTGCTTTGTAGACATACGAGTAGGTACAGCCACTTTGAGCAGAAATCCAAGTAAATAGAATTTTTGCTTTTCCAGAAATCCTCTCAATGCTTTTCCACTGGGAAAATTCACATTTCACATTTTAATTTCGCGGCAATCGTATACTCGTACGCGAGGATGGTGGGAGGGGTCTTGATCGACGCGTTCGGCGTGCGGATTGTAAATACTGCGTAGGCCAACTCTATTTCTTTTTCTTCGCTGACGATAAAGTTATTCACATTTCAACTTCTCGTTCTTGGCACATTTTGTGTTTCGGAAGCAACACCTTCAATTATTGTTTGGATAACTAGAATAATAGGACTTAGCGCATAGGTATACCGAATGCAGATACGCGTTATTTGTTGTTAGGTATGATCGTTGCTTACAATTATTCGGAAAATGAAATAAGAGTGTGTGTAGTGTCATATTATTCGCCTCAAAATCGTATTTTTCCGGTGAAGCGATTTACACGATCCATCGCATTGTAGATCGAAAAATAAAACGCTAAATGAAAATCAGTAAAAATATATAGGATGTCCAATTTAAAAATCAAAAGTTGGAGTCGTTTTCGATCAAACCGGAGGTACATCAAAGCAAGTGAATATGTCAAAAAATTCATCTATAACACTGATCAACAGCCAAAAAATATCCTAAATAAACTCAACAAAATGTTACTATTTTTAATGTGCTAAAACCGGAATGAAACTTATTTTTTCAATATTATTTCAAGTTTTAGAGATACGGTAATTATATGTGTTCCTGCTGTGACAGTGTTAATATACTGTAATTTACAAGAATGCACGTGCTACATTTTTATATTCGGCAAGGAAAGATGATGTAATCGGCATGATTGTGTTACGTTATACATACGTGTACATTATATTGTTTTATATTAGCCATTTTTTCCTCAGTTGGCTGACAGCGTTCATGCAAGATGTCTCGAAAGTGTGTAAACAATCCAGATCAGTTTTGTTACGTGTGTGGTGATGTCTCAGAGACGGTCTATTACTCCACTAATAACAAAGGCACATGGGCTTTATTTCGGTTGTAAACTAGGTGATCAAGACAAACAGTGGGCACCCCACATCTGCTGTAATACATGTGCTCCAAGTCTGAGGAGCTGGTTAAATGGCAAAAAACGGTCTATGCGCTTTGCTGTCCCAATGGTTTGGAGAGAGCCTACAAATCATATTAATGATTGTTACTTTTGCATGGTACCTTGTGTTGGACAAGCCACAGGTATGTCCAAGAAAAAAAAAATTGGTTATTAACTACCCAAACATACCATCTGCGATGAGACCTGTGCCTCACAGTGACAAAAATCCTATTCCAAAACCCCCAAAATCCTACACTTGCGAATCAGAAAACGAATCAGATCATGGCGATCGAGTGATTCGTCAGGAAGAAGATATGCCATCAACGTCACGAGATCCTGATTTTATACCGAGCACGTCATGCTACCAACCGCACAAAATAACACAGTCAGAATTAAATATCTTGTAAGAGATTTAGAACTTCCAAAATGTAAAGCAGAGTTACTTGGATCAAGACTGCAGCAGTGGAACTTGTTAGAAGACGATGTTTCGGTATGTGTTTTTCGTAAACGCCACAAAGACTTAGAACCATTTTTCAATATGGAGAATAACTTGGTTTTCTGCAGTAACATTAACGGCTTACTGGCGGCTTTAAATATAAACTATAACCCAGAAGAATGGAGATTGTTTATAGACAGTTCAACATTGAGTTTAAAGGCAGTGTTATTGCATATTGGAAATATTTTACCATCTCTTCCTGTAGGGTATGCAGTTCACATGAAAGAATCATATGACAATATGAAGTACCTATTGACATGCATAAAATACGATGAGCACCAATGGCATATTTGTGGCGATTTGAAAGTTGTTGCACTTTTACTTGGGCTGCAGCTAGGCTACACAAAGTTTTGCTGTTTTTTGTGTGAATGGGACAGTCGGGCAAAGGCACTTCATTACACCAGACAAAACTGGCCTGTTCGTCAATTCCTAGAGCCAGGTCAAAAAAATGTACAGCAGATGCCATTAGTAGATTCGAAAAAAATTTTATTACCACCACTGCATATCAAGTTGGGCCTAATGAAAAACTTTGTCAAGGCATTAGATAGAGATGGGTCAGCTTTTCAATACCTGCGTCAGAAATTTCCAAGACTAAGAGAGGCAAAGGTTAAAGAAGGTATTTTTGTTGGGCCACAGATTCGAAATATTTTGAAAGATACACAGTTTGAAAACACTTTAACAGGTATTGAAAAAACTGCTTGGAATGATTTCCGTCTGGTGGTCACTAATTTCTTGGGAAATAGAAAAGCTGACAACTATAAAACACTTGTCAAAAATATGCTTCATCGTATCAAAAGAAGGGCTGTAATATGTCTCTTAAGATACATTTCCTACACTCACACCTGGACTTTTTTCCTGACAATTGCGGAGCCGTAAGTGATGAGCACGGCGAACGTTTTCATCAGGATATTTCAACAATGGAAAAAAGGTACCAGCGAAAGTGGAATCCTTCCATGCTTGCAGACTACTGTTGGACTCTTCGTAGAGATGCTCCAGAAACGATCCATAAAAGAACAGCAAAAAGACAGCGCATATAGTGATTCTTATAAGTATATGAATCTTGTTACTTTTTTTAATATATCCTTAAAAATAAAAAGTTTTTTTCTAAACCGCAACTAATTTTTTTATTTCATTGTCATTTTTGGATTCAGCGCCCCAAAATTAACAAAGAAGTGCACTTTTCCCACAAGATACAATTAAAAATCTAAAATTTGTTGTCCAGTGTAATTAGCAACCCTCATTTTTTTTTATCTTCAATAATAAAAAAGTTATTAGGGTGAGTCACCTTGGAGAATCACCCGGTATATCGAAGTCATACATCGACCGACACCAGTACATTGCTATAGACAAATTGATATTGAAGTCATAAAATTTGTAATCACATACCGCTCCGGACATGATGAGAATAGGTTTGGGTGCGTGGCAAGCGACATCTTGTGGGCTTGGCGGGAAGATGAAATCTCGCACCAAATTCCAGAATGGATTAGTCGTATTCGTTGCTTGCGTGAAGTCGAATTCACCAGGACCATCTGTAGTTCCAGCGGCGAAGCTATATCCCATTGCTGGCTTGCACCCTCTCACCTAGAATTACACGGAATATTTCAAGCTACAGTGATAAATGACTACAGGAAAGTATCCAACAACGTATCCCCACACCACTATCGGAAGACAGTACCGAGTACCTTCCGTTATAGTGTTTAGAAGTATCAAGTACGTTTCGTCTAAGTATTGCCGTTAATAATCTTGACAACAGTCAGGTGCCAATCTAAAATAAGTGAGCCAATATATATATATATATATATATATACAGGGTGACTTTGAAGTTGAGTCATTAATTTTCAGATAATAATTGTAGAAGGAAGATAAACCAAAATATGTGTGTAAAAATAAAAAAAAAATAAAAAAAATGTTACCTTGTTTTATAAAGTATCCTCCCGACAAGTATTTCAATGCGGACCTGTATTTGATCGTGCGGTCTTGGAGCACCGGCATGCCTTCCCCTGTGAGGTCTTAAGTCACCTGATTCACGAACCCTTTGTACTACATTCAGCATTTCCGTAAACATGTGCAATTTTTTATTTCGTTTGAGCCATGCAACAAACACCACTATTCACTCACGAGTTACCGACTGACACATGGACTGAATACAACTGAATTAAATTGTACATTGTAGTAAAAACATCGTTTCAAATTCTTTCGCTTTTTTGTTTCCGATGCGATGAACGGATAAGGCGGATTATATTCGTTGTTGCCAAACATGAGCACATAATATTATTATTGAGACAGGGCGGTACTCAAACTTCTAAATGGCTATAACTTTGTTACTTTAATTTTACCAGAAAAATGTTAAAGGAAAAAAACATTTCTTTTGATCAGATCTACTCACTGTTAAAATAGATGACTCAACTTCGAAGTCACCCTGTATATATATATATATATATATATAATAATAATAATAATAATAATAATAGCGTTTATTGTCCAACAGTTACCCCATTTATAGGACAATTACATAAGCACAATTAAATAATATTCAGTGGTGTTAAAAAAAAAGAAATTATTTCAAATATAAATAAGCCATTCTAACTACTGAGTTAAGCGAACAAGTAAATATATCACAATGACAGCTAATACAATTTAGATGTTTACACATAACATATGTAGGAGATTTGACTAACACGTTGGTCCTAGCCCTTGATAGCTTAAAAGTTACATAGTTGCGTGAAGAGAACGAAGGAACATTGAAATTAATCTGTGCCAAAATGACTGGGGAGTCAATAATGCTATTTAGCAGTTTAAAAAGGAATATGGCAGATGAAACTTTCCTTCTGCATTCTAAACTATGAATTTCAAAACGCTCACATAGTTCCATATTGCTAATGCCTTGCTCAGGGTAAACTCCTTCAGATTTGAAGTATAGACACTTTAGAAATTTTCTTTGGACCCTCTCAATATCATTTATATAAGTCTGGTAATACGGATTCCATACAACACTCGCATATTCTAGTTTTGTACGTACATATGTAAAATATAAGACTTTTATATATATATACCCCATTCGTAGTCCGTTGACGCCCAGATCAAACACAACATGTCCAAAAGCGAGATTGTACAGGTCCGTATTTTCCTCAATGGTCTTGGAATAATCTAATGATTATTTTTATTGAAAGAAGTGCACATACTTTTCACAATTCTTTATTGTACTTGAATCATCGTCCGAATGGTTAATATTAATTATTACAAGTTCAATTTGAATATCGATCATATTGTCCAGATCCCAAATCTTTGTTTGGATTGTCTCTTGAACGTGACTGATGCAATCTTTTCAATGGTTTGCCGTCACTCTGTTGTCAGCTTCATAAAACAAATTTTTCACGTCAGAAAATTTGAATGTTCTATTTTTTGAAGCCACATAGTTTTTTATATTTGCCCAAACCATTTCAATGGGATTAAATTCGCAGTGATAAGGGTCTTTTTTCGTCAATAACATTAAGATTATATTATATACTCGTGTCTGTGCTGCCTGACTAGATGGATAAGTTTTGCTTTAACCATGTTTTCATTGAAACTGATGTCTTTTGATAGGAGCTAGAGGTTGAATTTCTGCCTTTCTTGTGGACATTGTGGGATTTTTTTCCAGTTTTCTAGTGTGGTATGCAGCATTATCAAGTACAATGACGGCATTGTCGTCAAGCTTTGGGAGCGTTTCTTCAAACCATCGTTCTAATGAACTGCCGTCCATTTCTTCATAGTAGTCGGTCGTTTTCTTTGACTCAAATGCCCATAGGGCAGTGGACACTGCCAGCATACATACTGCCAATGTGACAGATAACAAAACGGTAAGGGATACGTCGCCTAATTGCGATCAGTAATGGCCTTTTTTCAGGTTAGTAGAATAGTGGTTTCTATCTTTCAATTTATTATGATGTTCGAGTTACTAATATAGATCAAACTTGAATCATCCCTCGTTCATAGTACGTTCGTCAGAAATAAAATAAGACTAGTAATCTTTTTGGTTAAGTTGTGGTTGCCCTGTATATATACTAAGTGACATATAAATCCGAACACCCAGTTTAAATGGTTTTATTTTAATAAATGTTGGTGAATGTATTTATCTTACTGTAAATAACAAGTGAAAAAATTTTCAGCCTTATCAGTTGGACATTCCGGTTTTTATGCTGCTTTTTTTAATTCACTAACGCTCTAAAAATGAATATTTCAGCCGCAGTAAAGAATCAACGTTGACGGATTTTGGTTCTTGACATCCTTTACGATCGGTTACGATGCCTAGAGTACGGAGACCTGTACGATTTCGTCAACTTAGTGAGTTTGATAGGGGCCCAATAGTGGGACTTCGGGAAGCTGGACTTTCTTTTCGGGCAATTGCAGTTAGAGTGCAAAGAAGTGTAAACACTGTGGTTAGGTGTTGTCAGACATGGCTTCGAGAAGGCCGTACGCAAAGAGCAAGGGGCACTGGACGCCGCCGTAGAACAACAGACCGTGAAGATCGCCGCCTAAGATTATTTACCTTAAGGGACCGTTTCTCCATTACCAGGTCCATTGCAAATGAATGGTTTGCAGAACACGGAAGACCTATTGGCATGCGAAGTGTTTACCGACGAAAGAGAAGTTTTGGCTTGTTTTCATACCGGCCACATTGGGTCCTCCCTTTAACTCGAGAACACCGACGTAATCGCCTTGAGTGGTGCAGACAACGGTCACTCTGGGATCAGGAATGGAACAGTATTGTCTTTAGTGACGAGTCTCGATTTTGTTTAGGCATGCACGATGGTCGTGCCAGGGTTAGAAGGCGACGTGGTGAAAGGAGGAATCCACAGTTTTTTGTTGAAAGACATGTTCATCACACTGTTGGAGTTATGGTTTGGGGTGCTATAGCTTATGGTTCCAGGTCACCTTTAATCTTCATCAGAGGTAACATGAACGCGCAGCGTTATATCCACGAAGTTCTAGAACCCCATCTTTTACCCTATCTTGACACCCTGGCAGATCCAACTTTCCAACAAGATAATGCCCGACCACATGTTGCAAGAGTCACAATAGACTTCTTTCAACATAATGATGTCACATTGTTACCATGGCCACCAAGATCTCCCGACTTATCCCCAATTGAGCACGTGTGGGATATGATGGGTAGGAGATTGCTTAATTTGCAACGTCCACCTCAGACTCTAGAAGCACTTCGAGAGGAGTTGGTGGTTGCCTGGAATGAGATACCACAGAAGGACATTGACCACCTGATCAGCAGCATGCTTAGGCGCGTTGGAGAATGCGTAGCACATCAGGGTGCATCCACACATTATTAAAGGTCAAAGGGCTTTAAAGCAGTGCAATCATTTTGAAATTTTTATCATTTACTTATTATGCTTTATTAAGTACTTATACAAAATTTTATTAAAATAAAACCATTTAAACTGGGTGTCCGGATTTATATGTCACTTAGTATACATATCCATTTGATAAAACGATTGGAAAGTTTCCTGATATTATAAAAAAGTTCACACTACAGAATCATATATCATTTACCAGGGGAAAAATATTAATGTGATATGAAGGAAATTTTCGAGCCGTAGAGGGCTGGCAGCGAATGCTGAAAAACATTTCTATAAAAAACTCATTCATCATGTTGTGACTACCGGGAAAACATGACAAATCAAAAGAAAAAGAATTATGGACGCAATAAGTCCCTTTGTTAGCTGTTAATAATTGACATGATGTCGCTTCAAATTACCACTTTTAACACTTTGATACAGTGGCGGACCGGGTTCAGAACAATTATATTTTCTGAAAATTAAATTTCCTTCAATTTTGAAAGTACGGGACACCAAACGGCACAGAAAATGGAAATAAAATGCACAAAAAGCATCGCGAATTATCTCCATAGAAGCTGTTGCAGAGTATTAACAGAAAAATTTATTCTTGACGATCAGGTAATTGGCCCTTTCGAGTTACCCCCAAAGTTGTCAGAAGAAGGATACCTTAGCTTTCTATCCAATAACCTACCAGAACTTTTGGAACAGACCTTAGACAACATGCCATTACAACGGAGACAGAATTTGGGGTTTCTTCATGACGGGGCACCACCACACATTTTTAGAGGCGTCATGAACATTATCCAAATCGCTGGATCGGTCGAAATGCTCCTGATCCTCGAAAATGGCCAGCAAGATCTCCTGATCTCAATCCGATGGATTTCTGGTATCGGGGAGAACTTAAAGGGATGGTTTATGGGACTGGTCCAATAACAACTGAAGCACAACTTCGCGAAACAAATTTTAACGCGGCTGAAATAATAAATGGACAACTTCAAGGACCTACAGTAAGAAGAAACTGGGTTCGTCGTAATGAAGCTTGTGTGGAAAGTGGAGGGCTACATTTTGAGCACCTTCTTTAAATACAAAAGAAGTGTAGTATACGTGTTTTACGAGTACATTATCAAATAATGAAATAATACCTAAGAGCCAAAAATAACAAACTCCATCTTTATTTAAACTGCGTTCCGTCCTAATTTGCGTCTGGCATTGCGGCGTTGTCAGATTTTATTTTACTTTAAAGTCGCATTTCTCTAAAAAAAAATGCCTTTTTGACCCCCAAGTTATATGAAACTTTTTTGCTTAATTTAACCCCCTCTACCACCCACTTAAATAATGACTATCATACTCGTAACGTTTACACCCTGTATTATCGGCAAATTCGAGCGTCGCACGATTTGCATTATCTAAAAAGTAAATGTTGACAGAATATTTTCGAACTGCTCTATCCCCGCTGTGACCTTCAGATACAGAAAAAAAACACGTCCACCCTCAATTAGGTTCACATTTTTTGCGATAACAATATCTTAATTCGATGATATAATGTTCTGTACCCACCTTCACCACGGTGCCATTCTTCAACTGAACTGTAGCGGTTTCATTCGCCATTTCTACAAATTGGTGGATGTACCCGATGCTTCCCGTTATTTCAGTGCCACTAGATGCTAACAGCTCCTGCAATAAAAGAACTTCAATTAGAGCGCGGCAACAATATACCTGTTTTATTTTCCGGAAGTTAAACGTCAAGCCACAGGACATCGCATCAAGCCGTTCCCTTGACTTTTATCACTAAATTATACAGGGTGTTCCAATATTCTGTGGACCGAAGTATCACGTATTTTTAGACTCGAAATATGTCGATTCTACATTATTTATCTCTATGCAAAAGTGCTTCGTTTATATACTAAGTGACATATAAATCCGAACACCCAGTTTAAATGGTTTTATTTTAATAAAAGTTGGTGAATGTATTTATCTTACTGTAAATAACAAGTGAAAAAATTTTCAGCCTTATCAGTTGGACATTCCGGTCTTTCTACTGCTTTTTACGACAGTTGAACAACTGAGCGCCGCTAGTGGATGTGAAACGATTTTCCAATATATGCCGGTATTGCCTCCTATGACATAACATATTGCTTTCCAATGTACAACAAACGTTTTGGAATTCAAGCCAATTAGCAATGAATGTCATATTGATTGTTCAAACGGAAAAACAATAAACCATCGTCTGTTTGAAACATTTTTTGCTTTGTATTGTATTGATTTCTAATTCGATATGTTACAGCAACCTTTATACATCAGCGAAACATAGATCAATAATTAATAACATGTGCACAGCCCGAATGATCACGCACATTGTTAGTTGAAAAAAGTTCGCAATATCAAAGAATTCTCGTTACACAATACGGAATTTGCCAAATTTACGTATCCGATTTGCTTTTCGATGTCTACACTGGAAAACAAATTTTAGTTTTTTAATTGTATCTTGTGGGAAAAGTGCACTCCTTTGTCAATTTTGGGGCGCTGAATCCAAAAATGACAATGAAATAAAAAAATTAGTTGCGGTTTAGAAAAAACTTTTTATTTTTAAGGACATATTAAAAAAGTAACAAGATTCATATACTTATAAGAATCACTATATGCGCTGTCTTTTTGCTGTTCTTTTATGGATCGTTTCTGGAGCATCTCTACCAAGAGTCCAACAGTAGTCTGCAAGCATGGAAGGATTCCACTTTCCCTGGTACCTTTTTTCCATTGTTGAAATATCCTGATGAAAACGTTCGCCGTGCTCATCACTTACGGCTCCGCAATTATCAGGAAAAAAATCCAGGTGTGAGTGTAGGAAATGTATCTTAAGAGACATATTACAGCCCATCTTTTGATATGATGACAGCATATTTTTGACAAGGGTTTTATAGTTGTCAACTTTTCTATTTCCCAAGAAATTAGTGACCACCAGACGGAAATCATTCCAAGCAGTTTTTTCAATACCTGTTAAAGTGTTTTCAAACTGTGTATCTTTCAAAATATTTCGAATCTGTGGCCCAACAAAAATACCTTCTTTAACCTTTGCCTCACTTAGTCTTGGAAATTTCTGACGCAGGTATTGAAAAGCTGACCCATCTCTATCTAATGCCTTGACAAAGTTTTTCATTAGGCCCAACTTGAGATGCAGTGGTGGTAATAAATTTTTTTTCGAATCTACTAATGGCATATGCTGTACATTTTTTTGACCTGGCTCTAGGAATTGACGAACGGGCCAGTTTTGTCTGGTGTAATGAAGTGCTTTTGCCCGACTGTCCCATTCACACAAAAAACAGCAAAACTTTGTGTAGCCTAGCTGCAGCCTAAGTAAAAGTGCAACAACTTTCAAATCGCCACAAATATGCCATTGGTGCTCATCGTATTTTATGCATGTCAGTAGGTACTTCATATTGTCATATGATTCTTTCATGTGAACTGCATACCCTACAGGAAGAGATGGTAAAATATTTCCAATATGCAATAACACTGCCTTTAAACTCAATGTTGAACCGTCTATAAACAATCTCCATTCTTGTGGGTTATAGTTTATATTTCAAGCCGCCAGTAAGCCGTTAATGTTACTGCAGAAAACCAAGTTATTCTCCATATTGAAAAATGGTTCTAAGTCTTTGTGCGTTTGCGAAAAACACATACCGAAACATCGTCTTCTAACAAGTTCCACTGCTGCAGTCTTGATCCAAGTAACTCTGCCTTACATTTTGGAAGTTCTAAATCTCTTACAAGATCATTTAATTCTGACTCTGTTATTTTGTGCGGTTGGTGGCATGACGTGCTCGGTATAAAATCAGGATCTCTTGGCGTTGATGGCATATCTTCTTCCTGACGAATGACTCGATCGCCATGATCTGATTCGTTTTACCTGATTCGCAAGTGTAGGATTCTGGGGGTTTTGGAATAGGATTTTCGTCACTGTGAGGCACAGGTCTCATCGCAGATGGTATGTTTGGGTAGTTAATAACTGAATTTTTTTTCTTGGACATACCTGTGGCTTGTCCAACACAAGGTACCATGCAAAAGTAACAATCATTAATATGATTTGTAGGTTCTCTCCAAACCATTGGGACAGCAAAGCGCATAGACCGTTTTCTGCCATTTAACCAGCTCCTCAGACTTGAAGCACATGTATTACATCAGATGTGGGGTGCCCACTGTTTGTCTTGATCATCTAGTTTACAACCGAAATAAAGCTGATATGCCTTTGTTATTAGTGGAGTAATAGACCATCTCTGAGACGCAAAAGTCACATCACCACACACGTAACAAAACTGATCTGGATTGTTTACACACTTTCGAGACATCTTGCATGAACGCTGTCAGCCAACTGAGGAAAAAATGGCTAATATACTCGTAAAACAATATAATGTACACGTATGTATAACGTAACACAATCATGCCGATTACATCATCTTTCCTTGCCGAATATAAAAATGTAGCACGTGCATTCTTGTGAATTACAGTATATTAACACTGTCACAGCAGGAACACATATAATTACCGTATCTCTAAAACTTGAACTAATATTGAAAAAATAAGTTTCATTCCGGTTTTAGCACATTAAAAATATTAATATTTTGTTGATTTTATTTAGGATATTTTTTGGCTATCGCTTATAAAGATACGCATCCACAGAACTGTTTTTTTTTGTGTGTTCTGTCGATATAATCCCGTTATATCACGTAGATAAAAAAGTTAATTACAGAAATTATAGCCTTCAATATCGAGAATATTTTCAAGTCTGAAGGATGATATACAGGGTGATTCACAAGTCGTGACCAAAAATGAAACATTATACACAGGAGCGCATTATATGTCAACATCGTTGGAAAATTGTAGATATTTGGAAATTATATTTTCTGGTTGCTAAGTTACATTTATGCAAAAATGGTACGAGGTGTAGCCACAAATCAGGAAGTGGGGCAAATTATTATTCAGCAGTTTCACAAAGTCAACACGCTAAATATCAAGTGATCTCGTTATCCCTAAGTCTACAGTTTCGGACATTGTAAAAAAGATAGCGAAGCTGCAAGTACTGATGTCAGCGGAAAAGGTCCAGGTCGACCGAGGATTGTAACTAAACGGAATCTGCAAATCGGGTAGGCGAAACACATTCCCGTCGGGTATCGGCGGAGTGTGGGTAGAGACACGGAGGGACAGTTGATTATGATTTGTTCACCAAAATATTCCTTCATTGGCGGAATCATGAATCTGAATATCCATAATTGCTGTTAAACCAGGCTACTATGCATATTATTAGCGTGTATGTCCAGCTTTATATACACCCTTCAACTGGATAGATACACCAACACACCGCTATACAATACGATTTTTTGTTTATGATTTACTGCCTGGTGCTACCACGATATACGATAAAGAGAAGAAGGGCTACTGGCGGCTGGTTCATCAGAAAAGAAAACAGATTCTCCAAACTTTGTGCTTACATCCTAAAAGCTTTTTCAGTGTAGATGAAAACAATCACTTTGTTTGATAAATGTTCGAATTTATTTTTCAGTGAACATGAATAATGTAGACCGAAAAGTATAAAGTTATACTAAGTGACATATAAATCCGAACACCCAGTTTAAATGGTTTTAGTTTAATAAAAGTTGGTGAATGTATTTATCTTACTGTAAATAACAAGTGAAAAAATTTTCAGCCTTATCAGTTGGACATTCCGGTTTTTATACTGCTTTTTTTTAATTCACTAACGGTCTAAAAATGAATATTTCAGCCGCAGTAAAGAATCAACGTTGGCGGATTTTGGTTCTTGACATCCTTTACGATCGGTTACGATGCCTAGAGTACGGAGACCTGTACGATTTCGTCAACTTAGTGAGTTTGATAGGGGCGGTATAGTGCGACTTCGGGAAGCTGGACTTTCTTTTCGGGCAATTGCAGTTAGAGTGCAAAGACGTGTAGACACTGTGGTTAGGTGTTGTCAGGCATGGCTTCCAGAAGGCCGTACGCAAAGAGCAAGGGGCACTGGACGCCGCCGTAGAACAACAGACCGTGAAGATCGCCGCCTAAGATTATTGGCCTTAAGGGACCGTTTCTCCACTACCAGGTCCATTGCAAATGAATGGTTTGCAGAACACGGAAGACCTATTGGCATGCGAAGTGTTTACCGACGAATGAGAAGTTTTGGCTTGTTTTCATACCGGCCACACTGGGTCCTCCCTTTAACTCGAGAACACCGACGTAATCGCCTTGAGTGGTGCAGACAACGGTCACTCTAGGATCAGGAATGGAACAGTATTGTCTTTAGTGACGAGTCTCGATTTTGTTTAGGCATGCACGATGGTCGTGCCAGGGTTAGAAGGCGACGTGGTGAAAGGAGGAATCCACAGTTTTTTGTTGAAAGACATGTTCATCACACTGTTGGAGTTATGGTTTGGGGTCCTATAGCTTATGGTTCCAGGTCACCTTTAATCTTCATCAGAGGTAACATGAACGCGCAGCGTTATATCCACGAAGTTCTAGAACCCCATCTTTTACCCTATCTTGACACCCTGGTAGATCCAACTTTCCAACAAGATGATGCCCGACCACATGTTGCAAGAGTCACAATGGACTTCTTTCAACATAATGATGTCACATTGTTATCATGGCCACCAAGATCTCCCAACTTATCC